GTAGGATCTGGAACGATCTGAATAGAATTGAAAAATTTGAAAAATCTTGAGCATCGAAAAGCAACCGGAATAATCTGAAAAAATAAAAATAAAATCGAAAGAACCTGAAAGAGAGAAAATGAAAGAATCTGGAGGAATTTGAGGTAATCTGGAAGAATCTGAACGAGTTTCCAGGAACCTGAAACGATGTGATGAAAGGTGAAAAATACTTGAGAATCTGAGAGAATCGGAAAAAATCTGAAGGAATCTGAAGGACTGGGAGAATCTGAATGAATCTGGGAAAATCTCCAAGAATCTGAAAGAAAACCTAAAAAAAAACTCGTAAGAAAATGGAAGAATTTTGAAAAATCTGCAGGGATCTGAAAGGATTTATAGGATCTGAAGCCATCTGAATAGAATTGAAAAATTTGAAAAAATCTCGAGCATCGAAAAGCATCCTGAATAATTCGGAAGAATAAAAAAAATCGAAAAAAACTGAAAGCGAGAATCAGAAAGAAAATGAAAGACTCTGGAGGAATTTGAGGGAATCTGGAAGAATCTGAACGAATTTGCACGAATCTGAAACGATGTGATGAAAGGTGAAAAGTCCTCGAGAATCTGAGAGAATCGGAAAAAATCTGAAGGAATCTGAAGGACTGGGAAAATCTGGGAGAACCTGAAGGAATCTGGGAAAATCTGCGAGAATCTGAGAGAAATTGGAACATTTGAAAAGAATCTGATGGAATCTGAAGGAACTTGTAAGAATCTGAGCGAATTTTCAGGAATTTCGAAGGATTTATAAAAATCTAAGAAAATATAAAAAACCCGGAGGAATATGGAAGAATTTTGAAAAATCGGCAGGGATCTGAAACGATCTGTAGGATCTATAACGATCTGAATAGAATTGAAAAATTTGAAAAGCATTCTGAATAATCCAGAGAATCAGAAATTAAATGAAAGAATCTGGAGAAATTTGAGGGAATCTGGAAGAATCCGAACGAGTTTGTACGAATCTGAACCGATGTGATGAAAGGTGAAAAATCCTCGAGAATCTGACAGAATCGGAAAAAATCTGAAGGAATCTAAAGGACTGGGAAAATCTGGGAGAATCTGAAGGAATCTGGGAAAATCTGCGAGAAACTGATAGAAATTGGAACATTTGAAAAGAATCTGACGGAATCTAAGGGAACTTGTGAGAATCTGAGCAAATTTTCAGGAATTTCGAAGGATTTATAAAAATCTAAGAAAATCTAAAAAACCCGGAGGAATATGGATGAATTTTGAAAAATCGGCAGGGATCTGAAAGGATTTGTAGGATCTGAAACGATCTGAATAGAATTGAAAAATTTGAAAAGCATCCTGAATAATCCAGACAATCAGAAAGTAAATGAAAGAATCTGGAGGAATTTGAGGGAATCTAGAGGGATCTGAACGAGTTTGCACGAACCTGAAACGATGTGATGAAAGGTGAAAAGTCCTCGAGAATCTGAGAGAAACGGAAAAAATCTGAAGGAATCTGAAGGACTGGGAAAATCTGGGAGAACCTGAAGGAATCTGGGAAAATCTGCGACAATCTGAGAGAAATTGGAACATTTGAAAAGAATCTGATGGAATCTGAAGGAACTTGTGAGAATCTGAGCGAATTTTCAGGAATTTCGAGGAATTTATAAAAATCTAAGAAAATCTAAAAAAACCTGGAAGAATATGAAAGAATTTTGAAAAATCTGCATGGATCTGAAATGATCTGTAGGATCTGAAACGATCTGGATAGAATCGAAAAATTTGAAAACATCTTGAGCATCGAAAAGCATCCGGAATAATCCGGAAGAATAAAAAAATCGAAAGAAACTGAAAGAGAGAATCAGAAAGAAAATGAAAGAATCTGGAGGAATTTGAGGGAATCTGGAAGAATCTGGACGAGTTTGCAGGAATCTGAAACGATGTGATGAAAGGTGAAAAGTCCTCGAGAATCTGAGAGAATCGGAAAAAATCTGAAGGAATCTGAACGACTGGGAGAATCTGAAGGAATCTGGGAAGATCTGCGAGAATCTGAGGGAAATTGGAACATTTGAAAATAATTTGATGGAATCTGAAGGAACTTGTGAGAATTTGAGCGAATTATCAGGAATTTCGAAGAATTTATAAAAATTTAAGAAAATTTAAAAAAAAAACCCGAAAGAATATGGAAGAATTGAAAAATTTGAAAACATCTTGAGCATCGAAAAGCATCCTGAATAATCCGGATGAATAAAAAAAAAAATCGAAAGAAACCGAAAGAGAGAATCAGAAAGAAAATGAAAGAATCTGGAGGAATTTGAGGGAATCTGGAAGAATCTGAACGAGTTTGCACGAATCTGAAATGATGTGATGAAAGGTGAAAAGTCCTCGAGAATCTGAGAAAATCGGAAAAAATCTGAAGGAATTTGAAGGACTGGGAAAATCTGGGAGAATCTGAAGGAATCTGGGAAAATCTTCAAGAATCTAAGAGAAATTGGAACATTTGAAAAGAATCTGATGGAATCTGAAGGAACTTGTGAGAATCTGAGCGAATTATCAGGAATTTCGAAGAATTTTGAAAAATCTAAGAAAATCTAAAAAAAAACCCGGAAGAATATGAAAGAATTTGGAAAAATCTGCATCTGAATAGAATTGAAAATTTGAAAAAATCGTGAGCATTGAAAAGCGTTCGGAATAATTCGCAAACAAGAAAAAATCGAAAGAAACTGAAAGAGAGAATCAGAAAGAAAATGAAAACATCTGGAAAAATTTGAAGTAATCTGAGAGAATTTGAGAGAAATTGGAAGCTTCGGAAATAATTTGAATGAATCTGAGGGAACTAGAAGAATCTGGAACAGTCTGCAGGGATCTGATAGGATCTAAAGCGACCTGGAAGAATCTGACAGGATCTGAAACGATGTGATGGAAGGTGAAAAATACTTGAGAATCTGAGAGAATTGGAAAAAATCTGAAGGAATCTGAAGGACTGGGAGAATCTGAAGGAATCTGGGAAAGTCTCCAAGAATCTGAGAGAAATTGGAACATTTGAAAATAATTTGATGGAATCTGAAGGAACTTGTGAGAATCTGAGCGAATTATCAGGAATTTCGAAGAATTTATAAAAATTTAAGAAAATTAAAAATAAACCCGAAAGAATATGGAAGAATTGAAAAATTTGAAAACATCTTGAGCATCGAACAGCATCCTGAATAATCCGGATGAATAAAAAAAAATCGAAAGAAACCGAAAGAGAGAATCAGAAAGAAAATGAAAGAATCTGGAGGAATTTGAGGGAATCTGGAAGAATCTGAACGAGTTTGCACGAATCTGAAATGATGTGATGAAAGGTGAAAAGTCCTCGAGAATCTGAGAAAATCGGAAAAAATCTGAAGGAATTTGAAGGACTGGGAAAATCTGGGAGAATCTGAAGGAATCTGGGAAAATCTCCAAGAATTTAAGAGAAATTGGAACATTTGAAAAGAATCTGATGGAATCTGAAGGAACTTGTGAGAATCTGAGCGAATTATCAGGAATTTCGACGAATTTATAAAAATCTAAGAAAATCTAAAAAAAACCCGGAAGAATATGAAAGAATTTGGAAAAATCTGCATCTGAATAGAATTGAAAATTTGAAAAAATCGTGAGCATCGAAAAGCATACGGAATAATCTGAAAGAATAAAAAAAAATCGAAAGAAACTGAAACAGAGGATCAGAAAAAAAATGAAAGAATCTGGAGGAATTTGAAGGAGTCTCAGAGAATTTGAGAGAAATTGGGAGCTTCGGAAATAATTTGAATGAATCTGAGGGAACTTGTGAGAATTTAGTAGAATCTAAAAAAAACTAGAAGAATCTGGAACAGTCTGCAGGAATCTGAAAGGATCTAAAGCGATCTGGAAGAATCTGACAGGATCTGAAACGATTTGTAAGAATCTGAAAAATTTTGCGGAAATCTGGGGAAAATTTTTTCCGAAAAAAAATCAATGACCACTAACATAGGAACTTTTTGATCACTATCCACTTTTTTAGCCGGGAAATTTAAATTAAAAAATTAAATTATGGTTACGATTTCGTATAAATGGTTATTATTTATCCAATTGACCCAATCTATATTTTGATAACAAAATTGAAGTATTGCGTAAGCGGTTGAAGCTTCAATTTTTTATTCCTTTTTTTTTGTGATTTGGACCTCCGGAAATTATTTTCGGCTTCATTTTTTCAAAAATTCCACCGATTTGTGTGCAAACGAGATTCTTTTGACCACCCAGTTTTCCCGAGTTGCGCTGAACAAGTTGAACAGATATTTCAAAAATAACCCTATAACCTACTTAAGCGCCTACACCGCACTTAACGCACATTTTCGAAGAATTTATCTCGAAACAATGAAAAATGAGAACAAATGACCCGCGCCGCGCTACGCATTGTTGACACTTTCAAAAATTTGTCAAATCGCCAACAATCCGACAATAAAACATCAGGAAATGCACTAAACGCAACTTCAACACTACAATTCTTACTCCAAAAACGTGTACAGTTGCATTTGCCCCGAAAACTCTGGCCGTCTTTACTCCAACTGCAACCTGAAACCATAGACAAATAGGTACTCAATGCACTTCCACCCGAAATACCTCCCGCCCACAATTTCATACTCACTTGTGTACTTCCACCGCAATTTTATCCCCACTACAGTACACAACCACCCCTGACCGACGCTTCCACCTCTTTCACCTATCCTCAACTTTAAAAATAAACAAAAAACTGAAAATCCAACACTTTCTCTATTTTTAGTTTGCGCAGACTAGTTGTCTAGTCGAAATCGTCCCAGGCGTCGCGACGTCGTCCTCTGAACCCGATGCATGGACAAAAAGCGCCAGTTTCACTATCACTCCGACCGACCACAAAACCAGCGTGAAATTTTAAAAACCCATTGTTACTACGAAAGTGAAAAGGTTTTTTAGTTAGTTAACGAGGACGTTACACCGCTGTGTAACGTAATTTACTGAATCATTCGATTATTAAAAAAGTAAATAATGGTGTGTGGATACGTCGAAAATGCATAATGGTTTTATTGTGGTAGTTAATTGTGATTCAAGGTTGGGGAATTATTGCTCCGGTTCATTCTGTTGTGGAAAGTTGACTTGTAAACAAATAACTGCTGCTTTTCTCGTTTCGTTTAATTAATTCCAACAAGTGGCATCGTGATGTACGTTCCTTTTAAGCTTTAGTTGTCGTGGGTGAGACAAAAATAACTCAAATTACGGAATTATAGTGATGAGTGCCGACTTGATGATGTTTCGTGCAGTAGTTTTTAGGTAGTTGTCGAGAGGTGAGTTTGTTTTTGTCTATATTGGATTGTTGTTATCAGAGATTGCCACAATTCAACTTCTCTTATCAGTCGTGTTGTAAAAAAAACATATTGGTGTTTCAGTTCGTGAATCGCTTGTTTTGAACTCATGTGTTGTTAGATACAATAATCATCACCAACTAATCTCGTTCTATTTTTTGTTGGTGATTCGTCAATTATATAATGTCCCTGCTCCGTTACCCAAGCTGTTCATTTACCGTGGAATTTAATAATTAAATGGCATTTGGACTATTCTTCGATGAGCTGAATTATCGATTGTCTTCTTCTAGTTCCGTCCTGACATTTAATGAGTTTTTAATTAATTATTATCTAACAACTCGCTGATAATCACAAGTTCAGTTTCAACTGCATCCTCGAACAAGTAAGTACCTGTTGAAATTTGTTGCGAGTCATTTCTGACAACGAGAGAACAACAGCGCGTAAACACGCAACCGGAAGTAGGACGAAGTTCTAGGTCTTCAGGTTATTATAGCGCTAAAAGTGAAAGTCCGGTGTTTGCTTGGAGATTTTTAAATCTTTTGCTTGCTGGAGCGTGGCAGGAGAGAAGTAAATTTTCCGTTTTCGCAAGTCTTGCGAAAGAAGCAAAACAAATTTGAAGAATGCTCGAGTGAATCACGGCAAATTCGCACTAAGTCTTATCAGAAATAAATATTTGATTCGGTATTTGGAACGTACGCTTGTGGGTTTTCGTTTCATGTGTGTTTTAATAAATGAGGGGCACTTGAAGTGATTGCTGTCGCTAGGTATTTAGACAAAATGTGGTTTTGAGTTGAATACTTAAATTACGAAATTGATCGATACGTTTTTGAACGATTTAATTGGTGTAGGAACAATAAGGTAGACGTAATAACAATTTATTGTTATTATCGTCCCCCACTTTGTCAACCTACAATTTTTTGTTGTGGATTTACATACATGTCATAAGGTTTTGATTTTTCAGTCATTCTGTGGTTGTGATTTATGTACGGTGTTTTAAACCATCTTAGAGTCATTTTGTGTTAAATGGATCGTGAATTCTTGAACTAGAGTTGATGAACTTTTCTGTAAAGGTAAGACACGTTTTATAAAAACAAATTTCCCATTGAGTGTTTTAAATTTTGGAAAAGTGCAACTATTCAGGTTTTGTTTTTTTAGAAATTTTTTGTGTTACAAAATTCTAGAAATATATTTTTTTGTGTTAAAAAGTAAATTATAATTATATTTTTTTACAATTTTTAAACATCGATATTTCCGTTTAGTTGGGACTCTGTGTTTTTGCCGTCCAGTTTGTCAGAAATGAAAACTCTAGAAACTAAAAAATCGAAGCATTGTAAATCTAAAAATTGAAAAATTGCAAATGAAAAAACGAAAAATGGTAAAATAAAAATCAAAGAAACTAAAAAATTACAATATTTAAAAACTGAGGGGTATAAAATTGTAAAATGTAAAAACACACATCAAAAAATTTTAAAATCGAAAATTAGCATAATAAAAATACAACTAAAAATTCGAAGGACTAAACAACGGAAAATTGGAAAAATAAAAAATTGTAAACTCTTAAAATGGCAAATCAACTTGAAAAATCAGAAAAATCGAAAAACTGAGAAACTAAAATCAAAAACTCAGAAACCGAAATCCAAAAACTGAAGAATTTTTAAAAATTCAAAAAGCGGTGTCACTTATTTTTGAATCGAAAAACCGAATAAAAGTAAAGTAAAAAATGGCAAAAAATTAAGAAATCAAAAATCGAGAAAAAGACAAATTGAAGAAACTAAAATTAAGAAAAAAAGAATGAGTGGAAAATTTGTAAAATCGAATTGAATACTCGAAAAAATGCTAATCTCAAAATTGTAAATTCGAAAAATTGCTAAGTAAAAATTCGAAAATTTTGAAAAGCTCAAAAAATCTGGAAATTTTGAAAATTCAAAAAATCTGGAAATTTTGAGAAATCCGAGAATTTTGAAAAATTAAAAAAAATTTGGAAATTTTGAAAATTCGAAAAATTTTGGATATTTTGAAAAATCCAAAAAACCTGAAAATTTTGAAAATTCCAAAAACTCTGGAAATTTTGAAAAATTTTAAAAATCTGAAAACTTTGAAAAATACAAAAAAATCCAAAAATTTGGAAATTTTGAAAAATCCAAAAAATCTGGAAATTTTGAAAATTCCAAAAAATTTGGAAATTTTGAAAAACTCAAAAAATCTGAATATCAAAAAAATTTAGACACTTGGAAAAAGTTCAAGTCGTGCAATTGACGAAATAAAAAGCTGAAAAATGGGAAATTATAAACTTTAAAAATTGAAAAATTTAAGAATGAAAACTCTAAAAATTGCAATTCAAAAATTTAAAATCGAAAAATTGTAGAATAAAAATCGAAAAATGGAATAACTGAAATATCGAAAAACTGAAGAATCTTCAAAAATTTAAAAATTCAGTTAAAACCGAATCGAAAAATTGAAAAAACGATATCAAAAATTCGTCAAATCGAAAAATGGCAAACCAAAAATTATTGTGAAATGGAAAAATGGAACAATTAAAGGATCGAAAAAAATCGAAAAACTGAAAAATTAAAATCAAAAAATGGGGAAACTAAAATTAAAAACTGAAGAATTTTTAAAAACTCAAAAATCGAAAAAATGAACAACAGAAAAAGTGAAAAATGGCAAAAAAACAAGAAATTAAAAACCAAGAAATTAAAAAAATTAAATTAAAAAAAAGAAGGAAAAAAATAAAATTTCTAAATAATGAGTCGAAAATTTGCGAAATATAAAAATTGAAAACTCGAAAAATTGCAAATCTCAAAATTGTAAATTCGAAAAATTACAAAATGAAAATCGACCAAGCACTAAAAAATCAAAATATTGAAAAATCGAGAAAATGGGAAATTGAATAATCGAAACATCGAAATCTCGATAAATCTAGAAACTGAAAAATTGAAAAATCGAGAAATCAAACATCAAAAAATCGAAAAATAAAAAATTTGAAAAATCCAAAAATTGAAAAACTGAAAAATCTAAAACCGAGAAGTTTAAAAATCGAAACATCCAAAAAATTGAGAAATCTAAAATTTACTGAAGAATCAGAAATCCAAGAATCTGAAAGTTAAAAAATCGGGGAATCGGAAAATTGAAAATATCGAAAAACTGAACTATTGAAAAATCAAGAAATCGAAATATAAAAAATTGAAAGATCAAGAAATTTAGAAATCAAAAAATCAAAAATTCGAAGTATTGAAAAATCGGAAAATTAAAAATTCCAAAACTGAAACAACGAAAAATCAAAAGTCAAAAATCTGAAAAATCGAAAAATTGGAGAATTGAGAACTTGGAAAATCGAAAAGTGGAATAATTGATTAATCGAGAAATCGAGAATTCAAAAAATCGACAAATCGAAAAATTAGGAATGGAAAATTTTACTTCAAAGAATTGAAAAAAAAAATGAAAAATAGTAAAACTAAAATATCGGAAAATGAGCAATCGAAAATTTGAAAAATCGAGAAAAATTAAAAATAGGGAAATTGAAAAATCGAATAAGTAAAGAATCAAAAAACTGAAAAATTCCATAATTAAAATATCGAAAGATTTAAAAATACAAAATTCGAAAAATTGAGAATTGAAAAGTCGAAAAATGAGTTAATTGAGATAAAACGATAATTTAGAAACCCAAATAATTGAAAACCTGAAAAATCAAATTTAAAAATCGAAAAACTGAAGAATCTTCAAAAACTCAAAAATTGGTTTCAGTTAAAATCGAAACGAAAAATTGAAGAAGCAAAAAATTAAAAAATTAAAAATCAAGAAAATGAAAAATTGAAATATGTAAAAATTTTAATATCCGAAAATTGCAAGTCGATATATTGAAAAAAATTGTCAAATTGAAAAACGGAACAATTGAAAAATGGAGAAAAATCGAAAAACTGAGAAACTAAAATGAAAAACTGAAAAATTTTTAAAACCTCAAAAATCGAAAAAATGAACAACGGAAAAAGTGAAAAATGGCAAAAAATCAAGAAAAAGAAAAATTAAAATATCTAAGTCGAAAATTCATGAAATATAAAAATTGAAAACTCGAAAAATTGCAAATCTCAAAATAGTAAATTCCAAAAATTACCAAGTGAATATCGAAGAACTGAAAAATCCGAAAATGGAACAATAAAAAATCAGAAAAATTTAAAAAACTGTAAAATCTAAAAAAAATTCACTGAGAAAAATATAAAAACCTTTAAAATCGAAAAACTTAAGGATTTTACAAAATTGAAAAATCCGTGTTAGTTTATATGTATACGACTAGAATCGAAAAATTCCAAGTCAAAAAAATCGAAAAACAAAAATTGCTAATTGGAAAAATATATATGTAAATCGATAACTAGAAAAATTGAATAATTGAGAACACAAAAAAATTAAAATATCAAAAAATTGGAAAATCCAAAAGTTGCGAAGTCGAAAAAATATAGAACCCAAAAAGTGATAAATTTAAAATTGATTGAAAACTCGAAATCGAAAAATTAAAATATCTAAAATTGTAAAATAGAAAAAAGTAAAAAATTAAAAGTCGAAAAATTGTAAACTTTTAAAATTCAAAAATTTAAAATTAAAACCTTGAAAAATGGCAAATCAAAAATGGAACAAATGAAAAATCGGAAAAATCGAAAAACTGAAAAATTTAAAAAAAGATAGATCTTAAAAAATGAGTTAAAATAAAATCGAAAAATTCGAAAAAAAAAATGAAAATCGAGAACCTGAAAAACTGAAAAATCGAGAAAGTCAAAAATTAAAATATCTAAAAATTGTAAGATCGAAAGATTTCAAGTCGAGAAATTGAAGAAATGGAAAACTGAAAAATTTAAGATTGAAAACTTTAAAAATTGCAAATCAAAAATGGAAAACTTAACTGAAAAAGCGAAAAAATCGAAAAGTGGAACAAATGAAAAATCGAAAAAATCGAAAAACTGAAGAATCTGCAAAAATTCAGGAATTGGTTCCAGTTGAAATCGAATCGAAAAATTGCAAGTCTAAAAACTGAAGAAACGAAATATTGAAAAATGGAAAAATAAAAAAAAATTAAAATCGAAAAATTGGAAGTCGAGATATTGAAGAAATGGAAATCTGAAAAATTGCACATCAAAAAATTGTAAAATCGAAAAATTGCAAAGTAGAGATCGAAGAACCAAAAAACCGAAATACATATAGAATAACTGAAGAATTTTTAAAAATTCGAAAAACGATCAGTTAAAATGGAATGGAAAAATTGCAAGTCGAAAAATTGAAACGAAAAATTGTATGTTGAAAAATTGAAGATACGAAAAACTGAAAAATCGAAAAATTGTAAAATCTAAATATTGAACAATTTTAAATTGAAAACTCGAAATCTTGTGAAATATTTGTATAAGGTTATGGCGCAATTAATCTAGACGCAACAGTCTTTTAATAACCACTCATTTTTTTTGACAAATGACTGATGACAATATAATGCGATTTTTTTTGTATTCAAGCCAAAGTTATGCTAAAATAAATATCAAACTGTTTTCTTATTCGTTAAAATGTAAACGAATTTTAAATCCAACAAAGTATGTACTGAAAAAGACGTCATTTATCTCTCTAGTGACAAAATACAGGACGCCCCACTTTAAAAACAGTGGAAATGTACATTTTTTAACAGAAGCGCAAATCTACAAATAAACAAGAGTAAAAAGGAAAATATGTTCAAGTTGTAAATTAAAGATGTTTCATAAATCATTCTTTCACAAAAAAAAGAAACACATAGAGCTGTCATAAAAACCAAAAAATTTGCAACAATAAACTAAATATTTCACATAACCGAGATAAAAAAACCTGCGTCAACCTGACCTCGTTACCATTAATTCCTAATCCAGTAAATTCTATACGATTAAATATAATTAATCGTATAAATTAACAAAATTTTAATGTCAATAATAACAATCACTCATCAACAAAACCACCTAAATCTTTCCAAAACATAAAGCGCAAAACCTGTTGCAGCTGTTCTTAAGTAGCACAGCTTCATAAAGACAAAACCTAATTAAAACGTCTACACAATTAAAACTAATATTAACTCAGACGATCCCCACAAAGACTCTGAGTCACCCAAAGAAAACACAAATATTTCTACTTATCTCGTCCCAACAAAGAACGGAAATATTAATTAGGCACCGTCCATTTGATAACACGTATCAGACTATAATCCGGCATTATAACTGCATTAACTTATCTCAGTTATCTTATCACGACAAGTTCCTGCTGCTAGTACTACAGATCTCTCCCCAACTAACGTTCCTATGTGTGTTTTTTAGCAACTCACCCGGTCAAGAAATGGCTAAAACCAGAGTCCCAGATGGAACCGGTAAGTATCGATTTCACATATCGTAGTTAAGTTATTTTTTCCTGAAATAATCCCACATATCATTTGTTTCAAATGACAATGTTGTTTATTATTGATTAGTAGACGTCATGTAGCACAAAAAGCATTCCCAACTTTGCATTCGCCGGGAAAAGTTGTCGGAAATGTAGAGGCTGCATTTTTTTTGTTTTGTTTAAGCGGTTTCAAAATTGTTGTAATTACGGTTTCATGGAGATAGAAGGTGAGTTGTCTGTGTTGTATTACTCATGGAAGTTTTTTTTAATCATGGTTGGACTGACGCGTTTTTAATGGTGTGAAATTTGAAACTTCGGGGTATCCAGAAATAAATATTTTTATTAATATTGGGAAAGAGCAGAATCGGAAGCGGGCGGGAAAATTGGTGTAAATATTTATTTGGTGAGTTATGACGGAGTTGATGGTGCTGTAAAATGACCAACAGATGCGGTTATAAAAGGGTTATGTGAATCACGAGTCGTATTACATTATTAATTATTGGAGGAAAATCCGTGTGGGAATACGTTTTATCGAATCGATAAAAGTGCAATTAACCTTCAAAAATTAACCAGACATTTATTTTCTAGTAGATTATTATTTATTTATTATTTATTTTCAGCTTCATTTTGTGGAAAAATTCTACCACTTTTCGCCAATTGAATGTTGGAAATTTTGTTTTTTTTTAATCTGATGTTCTTGCCGAATATTTCGAAAATTTTGGTCCGGAGCTATAAAAACGGTGTATTTTTCAAATCAATACGGTGGGATGCATATCCCCGAATTTTTTGTTAATTTTTAGGCCATTTTTTCAAAAGCTCAATTTTTCAGTACCAATCTTACGAAATTTTTGATCGTTTTTCGACCACCTTCGAAAATTAGCCAAAGATATTTTTTTGTAAAATTCAAATTCTAGAACTGATTTTAGGCTTATGTCTTTAAAAATTCCTGCTATTTTTGCAGAATCGCCAATTGAAATTTGACAATTTTAGGATTATTAAAAAAAATTCAAATCGAATATCTAAAAAAGCTTGCTCTGGAACAAGAGAACCTTTATATTTTTCAAATTAGCACGTTGAGATATACATTTCAGATTTTTTTTGTTTTTTTTTAATAACTTTTCCAAACTCATTTTTTTAATACTGCCACTTATGAAATTTTTCATAATTATTCAACCACCCTCGAAAATTAGCTACAGATATTGTAGATTGTACTATTTGTAGATTTCAACCCCCTAAAGGTATTTTCGGCTTCATTTGGTCGAAAAATATTACCACTTTTTCAGAATCGCTAATTGAAATGTTGGAAATTTTGGTTTTTTTTTTTAATTTGACGTTTCAGACGAATATTTAAAAATTTTGGTCCGGGAACATAAAAACGGTGTATTTTTAAATCAGCAACTTGGGATCCATATCCAGGAATTTTTGTTAATTTTTTGGCCATTTTTTCAAAAACTCAATTTTTCATTTCCAATCTACGAAAATTAGCGGAATACATTTTTATAATTCAAATTCTAGAAGTTATTTTAGGCTTCATTTTTTCGAAAATTAATGCTATTATTGCAGAATCGCCAATTGAAAAAAGGCAATTGTTAGGTTTATTAAAAAAAAAAAAAATTCGAACCGAGTATTTCAAAAAGCTTGCTCTGGACAATAAAACCTTTATATTTTTCGAATTAGCACGTTGAGATCTACATCTCAGAATTTTTTGTTTATTTTTTAACAACTTTTCCAAAAACTCAGTTTTTCAAAAATTGTGAAAAATAAATTATTATAATAACCAACATATAAAAGGGCAATTATGTTGTCCTATGAAGTGGAAACTAATAGAATCTAGGATGTGAAAAAAGTAAAAAAAGCGCTAATCGTAAATTTTTTGTTATACTATTTGCTACTGGAACTGTAAAAATTGTTATATTTCAACTGGTGATCTTGAAAGAATGACAGAAATTTTCGACGATACGAAGCCGAAAATGACTTCTGGATGTCGAAATCTACAAGAAAATGACTAGCTAATTTTCGCAAATGGTTGAAAAATGATCGCAAATATCAAAAGTGTGAAAATCAGTCATTTCGTAGAAAAATATTACTACTTTTCCAAAATCGTCAATTGAAATGTTGAAAATTTTGAGATTTTCAAAAAAATTTGGCGCTCCAGACGAATAGTTAAAAAATTTTGGTCCATAAAAACGCTGAATTTCAAATCAGCAGGTTGGCATCCATAACCCGGAACTTTTTGCTAATTTTTAGGCCATTTTTCCAAAAACTCAATTTTTTCAGTATTGATCTTCGAAAACTAATGAAAGAATTTTTTTTGTAGAATCTGAATTCTTGAAGTTATTTTAGGCTTCATTTATCTGAAAACTCCCACCATTTTTGCAGAATTGCCAACTGAAATATGGATTTTTTTTAGGGTTATTATTTTTTTTTTCAAAACCTAATATTTCAAAAAGCTTACTCTGGAACCTTTATATTTTTCGAGTTAGCATTTTGAAATTTACATCTCAGAGTTTTTCTTTATTTTTTAGCAACTTTTTCAAAACCTCAATTTTTTAATACTCGTCCCTTTGAAATAAAATGGCAATTATATCATTCTATGGAGTGGAAGTGGAAACTAATATAATCTGGGGTGTGAAAAAAGTAAAAAAGAGCTAATCGTAAATATTTTGTTATACTAAGTATTTGCTAATGGAACTGTAAGAATTGCTATATTTCAACTGGTGATTTTGAAAGAAAGACAGAAATTTTCGACGAAGTGAAGCCGAAAATGACTTCTGGATGCCGAAATCTGCAAGAAAATGTCTAACTAATTTTAGCTAAAATGTCAAGAGTCAAAATCAGTCATATCTTATAAAATGCTAGCCCCGCCCACCCGCCCTCTATTCTCTTGGCAGATATGTCATTTGCCAAAAACAGTCTTATCTTATCAACTACTATGAAATTTTTTGATGATTTTTTAACCACCCTCCAAATTAGCTAAAGATATTTACTGCAGATTGCATTATTTGTAGATTTCAACCCCCCAAAGTTATTTTAGGCTTCATTTATTTGAAAATTCTTACCGTTTTTGTCGAATCTCCCATTGAAATATGGCAATTGTAGGATTGTTAAAAAAAAATCAAATCAAATATTTCAAAAAGCTTGCTTTGGAACAATAAAACCTTTTTATTTTTCGAATTAGCACGTTGAATTACATCTCAGACTTTTTTGTTTATTTTTTAACAACTTTTCCAAAAACTCCATTTTTTAATATTCCCCCTATGAAATTTTTGATAATTTTTGAACCACTATCGAAAATTAACTGCAAATATATATTGTCGATTGTACTATTTGTAGATTTCAACTCCCCGAAGTTATTTTCGTCAAAATCAGTCATATCTTATAAAATGCTAGCCCCGCCCACCCACCCTCTATTCTCTTGGCAGATATATCATTTGCCAAAAACAGTCTTATCTTATCAAGTACTAGCCCCGCCCACCCGCCCTCTCTTTTCTTGGAAAGTATGTCATTTGCCAAAATCAGTTTTATCTTAGCAAGTACTAGCCCCGCCCACCTCCAGTCTTTTTATCCTAAGGACTAATTTTATTTCTGCTCAGTATAAGATCATTCACTTCATTCAGACCGAATAAAATTAATCACTGAAATGGAGGCAGGGTGGGTGGGCGGGGCTAATTATGTTGTAGTGTGGAGTGGTAGTGGAAATTAACAGAATCTAGAGAATCTAGGATGTGAAAAAAAAGCGTTAATCGTAAATCTTTAGTTATACTACTTGCTACTGGAACTGTAAAAATAGAGTTATATTTCGATTGGCGATTTTGGAAGAACGACAGAAATTTTCGAAGAAATTAAGTCGTACAAATTTCTGGATGTCGAAATCTACAATAAAATATTTCGCAAATTCTCTAAAATTGTTGAAAATATCAAAAGTGTCAAAACCAGTCATATATTATAAAATGCTAGCCCCGCCCACCCACCCTGTATTCTCTTGGCAGATATGTCATCCGCCAAAAGCAGTCTTATCTTATCAAGTATTAGCCCCGCCCACCCGCCCTCTATTTTCTTGGAAAATATGTCATTTACCAAAATCAGTTGTATCTTAGCAAGTACTAGTGCCGCCCACCCCCACTCTTCTCATTCTAACGACTAATTTAATTTCTGTTCAGTATAAGATCATTTATTGCATTCAGACCGGTTAAAATTAAATGAAGATAGGGTGGGTGGGCGGGGCTAATGATGTTCTTATATAGAGTGGGAGTGGAAACTAATAGAATCTGGGATGTGAAAAAAAAAGCGCTAATCGTAAATTTTTTGTTATACTATTTTTGGTAAGTACTACAACTGTAAAAATTGCTACATTTCAATTGGCGATTTTGGAAGAACGACAGAAATTTTTGAAGAAGCAGAGTCTAAAGGGACTTCTGGATGTCGAAGTCTACAAGAAAATGGTTAGTTAATTTTCGAAAATGGCTCAAAATCAGTCATATCTATTAAAACGCTAGCCCCGCCCACCCGCCCTCTGTTTTCATGGAAGATATGTCATTTACCAAAAACAGTCTTATCTTAGCAAGTACTATAAAATTTGATGATTATAAAATTTAATTTTACGATTTTTTGTGAGAACATCCATAAAGTAAAAAATATGAATGCTTTTACAAACCATAAAAATAGAGCTAAATATTTTGAACATTTTAGTTGGGATGTATCGGAAAAAATTGACGATGGTCTCATCAATTTGGGGGAAGGAAGGAGATAAAGTTTCATTATTATTTACCATGCTTACGATAATCTGAAAACGTTTGCGAGATTCCAAACTATTCGATTTTCCCTTAACACGGATTCATAAACCACAAGTACAAGAGTATGTTATTTTATCAAATTTAAATAACATTTAATTCGACAAAATTTTGTAATGACTATGCTTCCAATAATCTTAAAACGTCTGCAAAATGTCAGTCAGTGTTAAATTGCAAAGTTTGGATGTCTGGGGGAAACACTACATCTCCACGAAATTCATACACAAATATAAAAATTTTTTTAAAACAATCGTTCCAGTAGTTTCGACTCAATTACAATACTTCCTTAGCTTACGCTAATTAAAAATTCAGTGATTTTTCGCAAAATATTACGCAAGGTGTAAATTAACGCAACAATTTGTCCCAATACCATTTATTTAATTGCAAAATGTCCAAAAAGAATACATCTTGATTACGCCGACAATGCAGAGATAAATAGAAAAGTAAACATCGCGAGCTAACCTTGTAGTAGGTACTTTTTATGTCAGTTTACGTTTATTATCGCTGCGGACGCGTGTTTTCGGGATGTCTCTAAGTCGATACGATTCTTGTAAGTAAAAATCCATTTCAAAGCCACTTTAACGACTCGAACACTGTAAACACTGTAAACATTTCTCCGAGCGCAAAAATTTACATAAACACCGCATTATTCACACAAATAGCTACATTAAAAAACTCATCCACGTAAAACATGCATGCAATGCAGTTAAGCGTTTACACAGGTTGTCTACTTTCCTCGACAAACACCAACAAATATTTGTTATTATTTCTAGGTCACACACACAATATTGTCGATAATGCTATTAAACTCGAAGTCAGTGCTACCACAATGAATATATTCAGTGAAACCAATTACCGCAACCTCGGCTACTTTACCTTCACTTTTCGCGTGTCGAAATTCCCCGAAGAACGCTAAATCCGTCACTTAAACCGATAACGCAATCGCCTTATCACATTTTTCCGATACTTATCGACTGACTCATACCTGTCACGAAGTACCCAGAAACAGCTAGCCACTAATCCCAAATTCCCCAAAAGGGGCTACCACAAGCACCCACACCAATCCCTCTTCTATTTTACGAAACCTGTAGGTTCGTGGTTTTGCAGGGCAACCCATTCCGTACGACCCCGACTTCAACGGGCCCTCGAAGCACCGGTCCTGCACGGACATCATATGCCTGCTCTTGTTTATAGTCTTCATTGGGTGCTGGGCGGGGATCGCCATCTATGGTGGGTATCTGGTCTTGTGGAGACTGGTCTTGATGGTTTGCTTGCAGCGTTCACCAGCGGCGACCCGAACATGCTGCTGGTGCCCAAGGACTCCTGGGGCGGCCGCTGCGGCCTGGACGAGCACGTGAAGGACAAGCCCTACTTGTTCTTCTTTGACCTGACGAAGTGCTTCGGGCCCTTCGTGCCCTTCACGGGATGCCCGACCCCACAGGTACTTAGTTGCGTGGTTTGATTAGGATTAGGTGGTAATCATGGTTTGAAGGTCTGCGTCGAGAGGTGTCCCTCGGAGTACTTCTATTTCGATAATCTGCCAAACCAGTACCAGAAGTTGATATGCAGCTATGGTGTGGTGGCCAACAGTAGCAACGCGCAGCAGCTGGTGAATGACAAGAAGTGTGCACCGTGGTACTTGAACAGCCAGCCATGTAAGAACTTCTTGGTTTTTTGAGAAGATTCGAAGTATAATCTATGGTCTGGTGACCATAGATTATGCTTCGTGTGACTTTTGTGAGACCTAAATACCCATTTTATGCAGTTTTGAACAGATGTTTGTACAATGTTGCTGATAAGTCTTCGAAAGGGAACGCTAGAAAATACGACGACGAAATATCCGAGCTTAAAAAACACTTGAATAAAATTGCGATGTGGCTGTCTCTGTTTGTCCAAAATAGCATCGGGTATTTCACTGATAACGAGCACTACCATCAGGTACTTCTACCTAGATTTAGATAGTCTTCCCCATGTCGCTTCACTTAACTTTCAAAATCATTCTCCCGAACTGAAACGATAAAAGCAACAACTTTGTCTTTTCCGGTATAGCGTTACTAAAGTACCACCACCTTGTCACTCTAATCAAATAAAGTGATTGTTGTTTACAGTTGAAAAGAGATGCGTACCAGTTATAGACAGAACTCTTTTTGAAACCATCAAGGATAAGATTGACCCTCAAAATCTTATTTCGAGTATCAAAAACTTAAAAGCCTTGTCTCAAGCCGAGCAGGTAGGATTTTGTGTGGGCCGTGTTTTTTTTGGGTTTCATTTTTGTGTTGCTTAAATTGTGATACGAAAATTGTAGGGTCGGTACCACCCGCTGTTGATGCTTCCATTCTGCACCTTTTCATTTGTGCATGCCTTTTTGATAGTTTTGACTTGCTTTGGCACATCTTCATCGTCGCTTTTTAGGTTGGTCAAAACGTAGTAGATGATCTGATAAGCTCGTGGTGGCAAATTCTCATAGGAATTGGAATCGCGGTACTGATTTGTATAATTTATATAATGATTATGAGATGGTTGGCCGCTCCTATGGTTTGGCTTAGTCTTCTGGGGGTCATCGCGTTGCTAGTGGCTGGTAAGTACCAATCGAATCGTCGTAACAAGTACTTAAGTGTAGTTTCAGCTGTGTACTTCACGGCTGCCAAATACATCGAGTTGAAAGACCAAACCGATTCTACCACCACACAAAATGATAACCAAAACGTCTTCGAATCCTACGCTACGAAAAAGGACACCTGGCTGGTACTACTAATTATCGCTTCAATAGTACTTGCAATCGTACTCTTGATTCTGATTTTCCTACGCAAGAGGATCATCCTTGCTATTGCGTTAGTCAAAGAAGGCAGCAAGTACGACTTTCGTTAGTTTTTCCACAAATAGGTACTACCTTGTCGTTTCCAGAGCCGTCAGCTCAGTCACTTCAGTACTTTTCTTCCCGATCTTCCCCTGGATTCTACAAATCGGAGTCACTGCATTTGCAATCTGCGTCGCTTTGTATTTAGCAACCACAGGAAAACCTTTATACCAAATCAGAGGAATGACAGACGACTGTAGTACTACTTGTACGGACTACAAAGTAAGTACTGCTATCAAACTAGACACAAAATATCATCAAATTTTTCAGAACGGTGACCTATGCGAACCCGATTCCTTCAGAAACTACAATTGCATGAACGACCACATGAATTCGTGTCAAAACCTCACTTGCAAGTTCATCACAATGGAAAACCCGGCCTTATACCCATGGCTACAAGGTAGTACCACCACATCATAATCCAAAAAGTAACAAAACGTTGCAGCTTTCAACGTCGTCGGGTTTCTCTGGGGTACCTTTTTCTCGTCTGCTCTTGGTCAGATGATTCTGGCGTCGGTCTTCGCCACCTGGTACTGGACTTGGAACAAGTCGAACTTGCCCTTCTTCGCGGTGATTGAAGCTTCGGGGCAAACTTTGAGGTACCATATCGGTACTCTCGCCTTCGGGTCGTTCATCATCACCGTCTGCCGCATGATTCGAATCGCGCTGGAGTACGTCGACCAGAAGCTCAAAAAGTACGACAACGAAGTGACCAAAGCCATTCTATGTTGTTGCAAGTGCTTCTTCTGGTGCTTGGAGAAGTTCCTCAAGTTTATTAACAGAAACGCGTATATCATGTGTGCCATTCATGGAAAGAACTTCTGTTCGAGTGCTAAAGATGCGTTTATGTTGCTCATGAGGAATATAGTGCGGGTTTTCGTGCTCGATAAGGTACGACTTTGGTAGGTTTTTGATTAGGTTTGATTGTGTGGTTTCAGGTTACCGATTTTCTTTTCTTTTTGGGGAAGCTGTTTATCACTGTTGGAGTCGGTGCTCTTGCCTATCTCTTCTTTGCTACGGATATAACAGGGTTTGATAATTCAGGGTTAAATTATAATATAGTTCCAGTCATTATAATTATGATTATTACGTTCTTCATCGCTACGATGTTCTTCAACGTCTACAGTATGGCGGTGGACACACTGTTCTTGTGTTTCTGTAAGTAAAAATGTGTGTTGAAGGGGTTGGTTTTACGGGGTTGTGTTGTAGTGGAGGATTGTGAACGTAACGATGGGTCTAGCGACAAACCGTACTACATGTCTAAGAATCTGATGAAAATATTTGGAAAGAAGAATAAGATAAATTAGTAGAGAATAGAGACACTGCAGGTTTACTGTCTTTGAACTGCTATAAGTTCTGTGATATTATTTCTAAAGTTTGAACGCTTGCTTTCGTAGACATTCCTGAAACGGTACCGAAGAACCGAACTAAGAAAGCGAGGGTTTAAGCATTGCTAACGTCATAATTTATTTTTAAAGACTTTTTATTGGATGTTGTATGGTACTGTAAGATGTAAAATATACACTTCTATTTACTACACACTTATTGGAATTTAGTTACCTGTTCCTTCCTTTCTAGATGTTTCGTGATCGAGGTTTTTCTAGAGTATCCATCGCGGCCTTCGCTTCCAGACTTTTAGCGAACGCCGCCCGGCCGCCGTCACCGACGATGAGTGCATACTAGAAAGCCGTCGAGAAAAGCCATAGGCGTCGTACCGGGGCGGCGTATGGGTTTATTTCGTAACAATACTATGAAAACGTCCGTGGACAGAATTTCTCTCGCCTTTGAAGTGCAGCCCAATAAATTTTACTTCTTTGGAAAATTATAAAAAAAACAAACAAAAGAACAATTGGGGACAATATGAGATATATGTATTTAAAGCGGGAAAAAAAATGTTTTCGAAAAATCGAAAAACTCAAAAATCGAAATATCAAGAAATCGAATATCGAAAAATTGAAACATCAGTGTCGATAAATCGAAAAACTGAAACACCGAGAAATCAAAACATCGAAAAATAAAAAATTTTAGAAGTTTTGAAATTGAAAACTGAAAAATCTAAAATCGAGACGTCAAAAATCGAAACATCAAAAAATTGAGCAATTTAAGTCAAGAAATTGAAAAATTTTAAATGAAAAAAATCGAATAAGTCGAAAAATTAAACAATTGAAAAATCAAGAAATTGAAACATCAAAAAATCCAAAAATTGAAAAATCGAAATATTGAATCATTTTTATAAATTGAAAAAACGAAAAATTAAAAATTGACAAAATTCCAAAACTGAAACAAAGAAAAATCGGGAAATCGAAAAATCCGCAAAAAATTGAAAATTTGACAAATGGAAAAATTTTAAAATCGAAAAATTGAAGAATCAAAAAATTGAAAAGTCGTCAAACTGAAACATCGGAAAATAGAGGAATCGAAAAATGAAAAAAATGAGAAATCTAAAATTTGTAAAATCGGGGAATTGAAGAATTGAAAAATCCTAAAACTGAAATATCGAACAACTAAATAATCGAGGAATTGAAAATTGAGTATTTGGAAAATAGACAAATAAAAGAACCAAAAAAGGGAAAAATTGCGAAGCTAAAATATCGAAAAATTGAAAAATGGAAAATTCGAAAAATTGAGAAATCGAAAAGTCGAAATAATGAAATAATGGACTAATTGAGAATTTGGGAATTCCAAAATTCGATAAATCGAAAATTTAGAATCACAAAAATTTGAAAACTTGAAAAAATGAACAAATTTAAAAAACGAAAATTTGAAGATTCAAAAATTTGAAAAATAGTAAAACTAAAATATCGGAAAGTCGAGAAATCGAAAATTTAAAAAACTGAAATATCGAAAAATTGAGTAATCGAAAAATTGAATCTCGAGAAATTAAAAAACTAAAAATCGAAATATCAAAAAAATTGAAAAAGTTGAAGAATCCAAAAACTGAAAAATTTCAAAACTAAAATGTCAAAAAATTTAAATAATAGAAAAATCGAAGAATTAAAAAATGGAGAAATCGAAACATCGAAAAATCAAAAATTTTAAAAGTTGTGAAATTGAAAACTGAAAAATCTAAAATCGAGAAGTCAAAAAATTGGGCAATCTAAAATTTGAAATATCGAAAAACCAAAGAATCGAAAAATTAAGAAATCGATAAATTGAACATCAAAAAATCGAAAAATCTAAAATCCAAAATTTAAAAAATTGAGAAATTAAAAAATCTGAAATGAAAAAAATCGAATAAGTTGAAAAATTAAACTGAAAAATCAAGAAATCGAAACATCAAAAAATTGAAGACTCAAGAAATAGAGAAATGAAAAAGTCGAAAAATTCAAAAATTGAAACATCAAAATATTGAATAATTTTTATAAATCAATAAAAAAGAAATTTTAAAAAATTGACAAAATTCCAAAATAGAAACAAAGAAAAATCGGGAAATCGAAAAATCTGCAAAAAATTGAAATCTCGATAAATCTAGAAACTGAAAAATCAAGAATTCAAATATTAAAAAACCGAAAAATTCAAAAATTGAAAAATCAAAAATTTCATAAATCTAAAAATAGCCAAAAAGTGAAGAATCGAGAAATCGCTACATTAAAACTTAAAAAAATTGAAAAATTTAAAATCCAAGAAACTAAAATTTAAAAAATCAAAAAATTGAAAACTCGAAAATTTGAAAATATCGAAAATCGATACATAGAAAAGTCGAAAAATGGATTCATCGAGAAATTTAGAATTCGAAAAATCGACAAATTAAAAACTAGAAACGCAAAAATTGAAAATTTGACAAATAGAAAATAAAAAAAAAATCGTAAAATTGAGCAATTGAAAATTAGAAAAATTGAGTATATAAATTGAAAAATCGAATACGTCAAGAATAAAAAAATTGAAGAATTCCATAACTAAAATATCGAAAAATTTAAAAATAGAAAATTCGAAAAACTGAGAACTGAAAAGGTGAAAAATGGATTAACTGAGAAATTGAGAATTCGAAAAATTGGGTACAATCTTAAAAATGGATAAACCGAGATGTTCACAAATTGGGAATTAGAAAAATCGTAAAATTGGAAAATTAAAAATTCGAGCAATCGAAACATCAGAAATCGTAAAATCGAAAAGTGCAAAATTTAAGAAATCAAAAAATTGAAAAATCGAAAAACTGAAAAAAAAACAGAAATCGAAAAATCCAAAATTCAAAAAATCGAAACATTTAAAAATAGTTAAATTGAAAAATCCCAAAATTGAAATGTTCAAAATTTTAACATCTAAAATTGAACAACCATAGCCCATACGAAAAACTAAAAATAGAAAAATTTTAAATTATGGAAGAAAAAGAAAAATAAAAAAACTGAAAAATCGGAAAAATGGGAAATTGAATAATCGAAACATAGAAAAATTCAAAAATCGAATAATCAAAATTTCTAACAATCGAAAAATCAAAAATTTTAACAATCGAAAAATTGGAGAACTGAAAAATCTAATACCGAGAAACCGAGTAATCGAAGCATCCAAAAAATTCAGAAATCTAAAATTTAAAATATCGAAAAATTGTAGAATCGAGAAATCGGTACATTGAAACTCCAAAAAATCGAAAAATTGAAAAATTTAGAATCCAACAACCTCAAAAAAAAAATCGAAAAATTTAAGGATCGAAAAATTGAAAAATTCCAAAACTTAAATACCGAAAGATTAATAATTTTTGTAAACCGAAAAATCGAAAACTTAAAAGATCCCAAAACTTAAACAACGAAAAAGTGGAAAATCGAAAATTTGAAAAATCGAAATCAAAAAATCAAAAACTTGAAAATTAACATCCAAAAACTGGAAAATTGAAACATCGAAATGTCGAAAAATGCATTAATCGAGAAATCGAGAATTTGAAAAATCGACAAAACAAAAAAAAGTGAAAATTTGACAATATAAAAGTTTCAAATCGAAAAATTGAAGAATAAAGAAATTGAAAAATCGTAAAACTGAAATATCGAAAAATCGGGAAACCGAAAAATAGGGCAATCGAAAATTTGAAAAATCGAGAAACTGAAGAAATAGAAAATCCCAAAATTGAAATCTTGAAAAACTGAGTCATCGAAAAATTGAAAAACGGAAAAAAAAAACGGAGAAATCGAAAAATCCACAATCTAAACAACCGAAATCGAAAAATTTTAAAAATAGATGAATTGAAAAATTCCAAAATTGAAACGTCCAAAAGTTTAGAATCGAAAAATGCAAAATTTAAGAAATCAAAAAATTGAAAAATAGTTAAATTGAAAAATCCCAAAATTGAAAAGTTCAAAATTTTAACACCGAAAATTGAAAAACCATAGCCCATACGAAAAACTAAAAATAGAAAAATTTTAAATTATCGAAGAAAAAGAAAAATCAAAAAATTGGGAAATTGAATAATCGAAACACTCAATTCTACATAAATCTAGAAACTGAAAAATTGAAAAATCGAGAAATCAAACATCAAAACATCGAAAAATTCAAAAGGATCAAGAAATTGAGAAATCAAAAAATCGAAAAATCTAAGAATCGAAAAATTGAAAAATTCCAAAAGTTAAATACTGAAAGGTTAATAATTTTTGTAAACCGAAAAATCGAAAACTTAAAAGATCCCAAAACTTAAACAACGAAAAAGTGAGAAACCGAAAGTTGAAAAATCGAAAAATCAAAAACTTGAAAATTCCAAACATTGAAAAACTGGAAAATTGAAACATCAAAATGGAAAAACGGATTAATCGAGAAATCGAGAATTTGAAAAATCCACAAAACAAAAAAAAATGAAAATTTGACAATGGAAAAATTTAAAATCGAAAAATTGAAGAATAAGAAATTGAAAAATCGTAAAACTGAAATATCGGAAAATCGGGAAACCGAGAAATAGAAAAATTAGGCCATCGAAAATTTGAAAAATCGAGAAACTGAAGAAATGGAAAATCCCAAAATTGAAATCTTGAAAAATCGAGTCATCGAAAAATTGAAAAATTAAAAATCGGGAAATTGAAAAATCGAATAAATGAAGAATAAAAAAAACTGAAGAATTCCATAACTAAAATATCGAAAAATTTAAGAATAGAAAATTCGAAAAATGGATTAATTGAGAAATTGAGAATTCAAAAAATTGAGCAAAATCTTTAAAATAGATAAATCGAGATGTCGAGAAATTGGAAAGTAGAAAAATCGAAAAATTGAAAAATTAGAAATTCTAAAAATCGAAAAATTGAAAAACGGAAAAAAACGTAGAAATCGAAAAATCCACAATCTAAAAAACCGAAATCGAAAAATCTAAAAAATAAATGAATTGAAAAATTCCAAAATTGAAACGTCCAAAAGTTTAAAATCGAAAATTAAAAAACCATAGCCTATCGAAAAACTAAAAGCAGAAATATTGAAAAATCGAAAAATCAAAAATTTTAAAAATTGAAAAACCAACAAAAGTGGAAAAAAACAAAATTGAGAACTGCAACGTCGAAAAATGGATTAAACGAAAATTGGGAATTCGAAAAATCGATGAAACGAAAATTTAGAAACGTAAAAAATTGAAAACCTGTAAAACGGACAAATTTAAAAAACGAAAAGCTAAAGAATCAAAAAATTTAAAAAACGTAAAATTGAAACAACGGAAAATCGAGATTTCAAAAAATTAAGGAATAAAAAAACTGAAAATTTTCAAAACTAAAATATCTAAAAATAGAAAAATCAACGATCTGAAATATCGGAAAACTGAAAAATCAAGTAATGGAAACATATCCAGCTTTTCCAAAAATTACAAAATTTGATTCTACCGGTTTTATTATTTTAATCTAGAAGTTAAAATAAAGTAAATGTAAAAAAGCGTGCTAGGCGTATGTTTCAAATGATTTGCTTTATAGTTTTGATTTTTTTAACAAAACGGTATCATAAACTACAAATACAGAATTAAGTCTGTGCACGTTATAATTCTGCAGACTCACAGTTTGATTGGTACTGAAATAAAACACCCCTTTTCCAAAAAACTTTATTCAACAAATTCCACACTCACAACCTAATGTTCACAGTCGGTACTTCGCTCTCAAACACCCCCTCGTCGTCCCCCACGTCAACGAGTCCGTTCTCGTCAGCCCTAGCCAGAATGTCGCACACCAGCGGCGACTCCACCCCCAGAATATACTCACAGTACTTCGGCTCCAACAAATACAACGACACCGTATTCAAATTCGAAGTGTCCTCCAAGCACTTCAATTTCACCTCAGTCTGCCTCGGCTTCTCCGTCTTGTCGCACACAGTACCGTCTGAGTAGAAGTGCGACAGCTGGTTCCTCTGCGCCAGCGGCTTCGGCCTCTTGTGAGGGTGCTTCTCCATCCACTCCAAGTGCTTCTTCTTGTTGAAGGTCCCTAACTTGATCGTGATCTTGGACCCGTCCTTCTCGATGTGGTACTGCTCCACGGACTTCCCGTAGCAGAACTCGTACCTCCACCAGCCCGTTCCTCCCGTCAGGCAGTTCTTCCCCGCCAGGAAACTCTCCACCGGAGAAGTATCCTGCGGCTTGCTTTCGGGTGCTTTGGTGGTCTCCTCCTTCTCGGAGAACTCCGGCGGCGGTACGAACTCGATTTTGATCCTGTCTAGGTCGGATTTGCGCCGGAGTTTCGTGCTTTCCACTTTCATCTTCATGAGGTTGTACGGACGCTGCGGGTGTTCCCCCACAGGCATGCAGTTGATTTTGTTCTCGCCGGTTTCCTTGGGCTTGTACTTGGGGTGGGCGCAGACGAGGGGTGACAGGATGATGATCTCGTACTGGCAGGTGGAGGTTTCTTTGAGAGAGTAGACTTCGTGCTTGCCGTGGACGTAGCAGACGTAGAGGACGCGGGTTTGGCGGGGTCGGTTTTGGTTGAGGTCGCACTGGGTGCCGTTGCCCATGAGGATTTCCACGTAGGGCAGGTTGACGTTGTCGATTTTTTTGACGGGGATTAGCGCGTTTTTGTCCTTTTCGGCCTCTTTCGCCTCGGCCAGTTTTTTCTCGTAGAGTTTTTCGTCCCAGCGGCCGAGGGTGTATTCTTGGAGCTTGACCTTTTTGCCTTCGCGGTCTTCGTGGTATTGGCGGATGAAGCGGCCGTGGCAGACTTCATAGGTCCTGAAAGATTTTTTTTTTGTACAAGCAATAATCTTTTTTAAAAGAATAATATCGCATTAAATGGACCAACAGAGGAATGAAAATTAACGTGGAGGCAAAAAAAAGTACAAAAACTGGTCTAAAATTATTTAGACAGAACTTTCCTCGCCCTTGAAACACAATCAAAGAAATCCAATTTCTTAGATGAATTTTGATTTTTTTTTTGTGGTAAGGGAGCATGGTGTGGTAAAGTTTGAAGTGAATTTTTCGTAATCAAATTTTGTTGGAAATGTTTTTTGACAAGAAAAATGACAAAAAAATGTCAACGAAGAAAGGGAAGAAAATAATAATAATAAAAGAAAGAGATAAAAAGCGACAAAAAGCTCACAAAAAAGCGAAATAAATAAAAATAAAAAAGAGCAAATGGCCAAAAAGGTGTAAAAACAGGCGACAAAGAAAAAAGCAAGAAAAAAAAAGAGAACAAAAAAGATTGTTTGCCTTTATATCTAATTTTTTTATTGATTTTTCGTTTGTTCCTTTATTTAATCGGAAAAAAAGACGACAAAACGGAACATTAAACGGAACGAAAAAGGTATAACAAACGGCAAACAGGCAAATTAAGCGATAAAAAAGATAAAAACAGAACAAGCGATAAAAACCCCCAAAGACGATGAAAAAGGGCAAAAGAACGCCAAATGTCTAAAAGGCGATAAAAAATGAATAAAAATAAACGAAAAAAGATGTATTAAAAAAAAACAAAAAAAGGCCGCAAAAATATGATAAAAATAACGACAAAATATGGGATAAAAAAAGCCACAAAAACACGTGACGAAAGTTGATTGAAAAAAGGTTTAAAAAAGACGTCAAAAAGGTGATAAAAAAGCAAAAAAGTGACGAAAAAGTGGCAAAAACACGAAAAAAAAGTATGAAAAAAAATGGAAAAGTTGAAAAAAAACGGAAGTTCCAAAAAGCCGCAAAACAAGAAAATAAGAAATGTCAAAAAAATACGATAAAAAATTACCAAAAATTGATAAAAATAACGGACAAAACATGCGATAAAAAGAAGAAAAGTCACTAATTTGGATAAAAAATGGAAAAGTCAAATAAAGCGTTAAAAAGGGCCAAAAAAGTGACAAAAAACAATAAAAAGGACAAAGATGGATACGAAGTTGACAATAAACTTTAAAAAAGGAGTGACAAAAAATGGGATAATAAAAGGAACAAAAAAGGCATAAAAAGAGACAAAAACAGGCAAAAAAGGCAATAATAAAAAAAAAGATAAAATAAAAAAAAGAAAAACCATAACAAGGATACAAAAATATAAAAAAAGGTACAAAAAAGTAAAGAAAAAACAAAAAAGGCCATAAAAATTTGATAAAAAAAAAACACAAATGATGCGATAAAAAAGCCACGAAAACACGTGACAAAAGTTCATTGAAAAAAAATTTAAAAAAGGCGCCAGAAAGATGATAATAAAGCAAAACAGTGACAAAGAAAGTGACAAAAACACAAAAAAAAAGATGAAAAAAACTAAAATAATTATAAAATAAAAATGAAAAAAATGAAAGGGAGTCAAAAAAGCTCCAAACAAGAAAAGAAAAATTAGCAACAAAGAAAATTACAAAAAAAGACGATAAGAAGGACAAAAAGATCAGAAAACAGTGTCAAAAAATACGATAAAAGGAAAAGCTAAAAAATCACTAAAAATATGATAAAAACAACGACAAAACATGCGATAAAAAGCCACAAAAAAACTTAAAAAAAGTTGATAAAAAAAGCAGAAAAAGATTAAAAATATGGATCAAAAAACAATGCAAAAGCGGTGCTAAAAAAGAGAAAAAAAGGCACCACCAAAGCCATAAAGTCAAAAAATTCACAAAGAAAGATCACAAAAACACGAAGGAAAAAGTCACTAAAATATATAAAAAAATGGAAAAAAGAAAGTCAAAAAATCCTAAAAAAAAACAAGAAAAGCGATAAAAAGGACAAAGGTGGACAGAAAAACAATAAAAAATGAGTGACAAAAAAGGGGATAATAAAAGGAACAAAAAAGGCATAAACAGCGACAAACACTGACAAAAAAAAGGCGACGATAAAAAAAAGATATAAAATAAAAAAGGGGAGTCAAAAAAAGACTCCAAAAAAAGACGCAAAAAACGATCAAAACAGTGAAAAAAGAAAACAAAAAAGACACCAAAAAGATGATAAAAAGGACACAAAAATATAAAAAAGGTACAAAAAAAGTAAAGAAAAAACAAGAAAGGCAATAAAAATCTGATAAAAAAATGACAAATAACAAATAATGCGATAAAAAAGCCACGAAAACACGTGACAAAAGTTCATTGAAAAAAGATTTAAAAAAGGTGCCAGAAAGGCGATAATAAAGCAAATCAGTGACAAAGAAAGTGGCAAAAACACGAAAAAAAAGAGATAAAAAAAACTAAAACAATAATTATTAAAAAAAATGAAAAAAATTGAAGGAGGTCAAAAAAGCTCCAAACAAGAAAAGAAAAATTAATGACAAAGAAAATTACAAAAAAATACGATAAGAAGGGCAAAAAAAAATCAGAAAACAGTGTCAAAAAATACCATAAAAAGCCACAAAAAACCTTGAAAAATAAAAAAGCAGAAAAAGATTAAAAATATGGATCAAACAACAATGCAAAAGCGGTGTTAAAAAGACAGAAAAAGAAAAAAAGGCACCATCTAAGCCATAAAAAGTAAAAAAATTCACAAAGAAAGATCACAAAAACACAAAATAAAAAGTCATTAAAATGTATAAAAAATGGAAAAAAGAAAGTAAAAAAATCGCGAAAAACGCGATGAAAGAAAAGGTGTAAAAAAAGGGTCAAAAAGTGGTAGAAAAGCGATAAAAAGGACAAAGGTGGATAGAAAAATGATAAAAAATGAGTGACAAAAAAGGGGACAATAAAAGGAACAAAAAAGGCTCCAAAAAAAGACGCAAGAAAAACGATCAAAATAATGAAAAAAGAAAACAAAAAAGACACCAAAAAGATAAGAAGGAATAAAAAATATAATAAAAGGTACAAAAAAAGTAAACAAAAAAGGGCATAAAAATCTGATAAAAATAACGACAAAAGATGCGATAAAAAAGCCACAAAAACACGTGGTAAAAGTTGATTGAAAAAAGATTTAAAAAAGGCGTCAGAAAGGCGATAATAAAGCAAAACAGTGACAAAAAATGGCAAAAACACGAAAAAACGAGATGAAAAAAAAACTAAAATAATAATGAAAAAAATGAAAAAATGGAAGGGAGTCAAAAAGCTTCAAGAAAAGAAAAATTAGCGACAAAGAAAAATTACAAAAAAACAATAAGACGGGCAAAAAAATAAAAAATCATTGTCAAAAAATACGATAAAAAGAAAAGCTGAAAAAAAAATTGATCAAAAATATCATACGTACGATAAAACATGCTATAAAAAGCCACAAAAAAACGTAAGAAAAGTTGATTAAAAAAAGCGAGAAAAAAGGTACCTTAAAAGCGATAAAAAGGCAAAAAATGACAAAAACACGAAATAAAAAGGCGAAAAGTCACTAAAATATATAAAAAAAAATTAAAAATGTAAAAAAAAAAAATTCAAAAAAAAACAGGAAAAACGATCAAAATTTCGAAAAAAGCGATAAAAAGGACAAGGGTGAATATAAAATTGACAACAGAAACGATAAAAAAATGAGTGTCAAAAAAGAGGATACTAAAAGGAACAAAAAAGGCATAAAAAGCGAAAAAACAGGCAAACAAGGCGACAAACTTCAACAGTGAAAAAAGTAAACAGAAAAAGGATCAAAAAAGAAAGCAACAAGGGACAAAAAATATAAAAAAATGTTAAAAAGAGTAAATCAAAAACAAAAAAAAGCCATAAAAATCTGATAAAAGTAACGACAAAAGATGCTATAAAAAAGTCACAAAAAATCGCGACAAAAGTTGATGAAAAAAGTGCGATAAAAAAGGTAAAAAGAGGGCATTAAAAAAGGGAACAAAAAAAGCGCTAAGATACGATAAAATAGTGACAAAGGGCAAAAAATAGGAAAAAAAATGATAAAAAAAACACAAAAAACGAAAAAAATCCTGCAAAATAATCACACAAAAACAGCGACAAAAATGAGAAACAAAAAATATATAAAATAAATACAAAAAGAAGAAAAGGTGAAAGGAAAGCGACGAAAACAACGACAAAAGAAGACAACAGAATACCCATAGAAAAACGTGATAAGAAAGTGATGACAACGATGACGGAAAAAAAGTGATAAAAAAAGAACAAAAGAGCCAAAAAAACGACAAAATAATTAAAAAGAAGTGGAAAAAAATGGACACAAAAAGAGGCAACGAAAAAAGCATAAAAAATGTCAAATAAGGTGCGACAACAAACGCACCAACCAAAAGTGGCAAGTAAAACAACATGAAAACGAAAAAATTAATACATTGATAAACCCCAAATATAGTGCATTTTAGATATAGGATTTACTAAGCAAAAATTTTGAAATAGATAAGTTATCAAAGTTTTAAGAAAAGTTTAAATTTTGGTTCTTGAATGTCACTTGGGTCAGTCTTTAAAAAATATATCCACTAATTTGTTTATAAATAAAACTTTTACACGAAAATTAGCAAGTCATTTAGCACAAAATTCTATTTTAACTCCCTATTTTTGACTCAACTAATTTAACTGAAGCATAAAATCAGATCTCAAATTGGTCATACTGCTGAATACCTGACAATTATGACACAATTTTGACATGCAATAGCACTGAAAAATAAAAAAAAACACGTTACATTCGCAGATGAACGTCTCTGGATACTCGATCTATATTTTTCTCGGTTTGTGGTTACACAAAAATACCTACAAATTAAAAAAAAATGGAAATTAGTAAATTTTGGTTTCTTCAAGATAATTCTGAAACAAAAAATTCTTAAAAAAATATTGTTTAATCATAAAATAGCTTAGCTTGTCAAAAAAAATAACCACTCTCCAATTTAGTCGTGTTATGATATTGACAAAAATTGTACTTTTTTAAGACAGAACTGGATATTGTAACCCGACTCTATGCTTACCAATACGACTCCAGTCGATAAGTACAAGAACTCTGAATAAACAAGGGCGAAATTAGCTCGAAAGCTGTAGGCCCTTCGTACTTCTCTTCACTAGTACTCTCCTTCTCCTGAATGTTGGGTAAAACACATCGGTACTTCTCCTGATGGGAACTCACAACAATCATATCTTCAGGATCGCCCAAATCTACGTTTTCTACGCTGTCACCTGGCCAGTGTATGTCAAACAACACAGTATCGTCAAACCCCTTAATGTCGTGCCCCCACACAGCAAGAGGGACCAGCAAAAATGCCAAACAATGCATTTTTATCCCACTCTGTGCATACCCATACAAAATAAATACTTAAGTTATCATTCCACGTCAGGGAATATTATTATTGAATGATAACACAACAACCACTAATGACGTGACATTTGGGTAACCTTACTTTTTTGACGTTTGGACTCAGTATTGAACAAAAATAAAAACACGCAACCAACTATACAAATAACATTTCCCTATAGTTGTATTCGTTGTCACACTAACAGTAAAGTAAAAGCTACATGAAAAAAGTCGCTTTTATTAACACTACTAAAGTTGCATTTAGTACGTAAAATCGTGGTTAAAAACATAAAAACTCTATTTAACTTATTTTTGTGTCTGTGTGACGTCAGTTGGTAACCAACTACGTGCAGCTAAAATCACCAAAAGTTACCAATGTGGTTGTCATTCTAACCTCAATGTTTATATTTTGATTATATATTTTTTAAAATGCCGCAAAAAATTCACATTAGGCTCGCCGCCCACCGGGTTAACGCCTCAGTGGCTGTTAATAGAAGAGTGCCGAAAATTTTCACCCCCGGACAAGTCATCACAGAGCAGAACGAATTTATGAGGTTAGAAACAATCATGTTGTACCAACTTAATCTAGATTTAAACTTGTAGAGGGCATGGAACTTACGAAGAGGAGGGTTTTTTAAAATCTTCAGTGGCCGGAGTGAAGGAACAAGTCAACAATTTAATTTCAATCCGGCCTTTGAAGAGTCGGTACAATGGAGAAGTCGGTGATGTGGTTGTGGGGCGAATTACGGAAGTACAACAGAAGCGGTGGAAAGTTGACACTAATTCGCGCTTAGATTCCGTGCTGTTGTTGTCTTCTGTGAATTTACCAGGGGGGGAATTGGTGGGTATTTTTTTAACAATCATATCTTTATTTATATTTTGTATTGTGTTAGAGGAGAAGATCAGCTGAAGATGAACACATGATGAGACAATATCTTCAAGAAGGCGATCTTATAAGTGCAGAGGTTCAGAGTGTTTTTTCAGATGGTTCATTATCTTTACATACTAGAAGTTTGAAATATGGAAAAGTACTGATTCAATTTTTTTTTTGAGTTTTTTGTAAGTTTTGTTTTTATTAGTTGTCACAGGGTGTCCTAATTAAGGTTTTTCCGTCGTTGATAAAACGGAGCAAGACACATTTTCACAATTTGTATGTGGGGGCTAGTATTATCTTGGGGAATAATGGTTTCATTTGGATTTATCCAACAGTTACTAATTCTGAAGATGGCGTAGGAGGCTTTGTCCAGAATTTGGAAGAGGTAACATTTTTTTAGTTTCTTTTTTGTTGCTAAGTTTTTCTAAAATTAGTTATTTATTGCAGGTGGTGTCTAGGCCTGAACGGGAGACGATTGCGCGACTTAGAAATTGCATTCTAGCCCTCACTCAGAGTAAGATGATGTTGTTTGACACCAGCATCTTATATGCTTTTGAAGAATCCCAGAAATACAGTGTTCCTGAATTGTTAGTTCCTGAAGCGATGGTAGATGTCGCTATCTTGACACAAGATCGCTTAAGTATGGCCGAGAACTCATAATAGTTTGTAACAAATAAATAAATAAATAAAGATTGTTTTGTAAAAATCGTCTATTTAAATCTGACTTAAGAACTTGTTATATAAAATAAGTGGTATAAATAAACTTAATGTAAATTCAGATATATACACGAAAATAAATAATATAAATAACCGAAAGGAGGAGTATTAGAGACAGTTTTACCGTCACAAAATCGTTATAGGAACGGGAGTCAGTGCAGAAGTTAGAGATCATAACCTAATTTTTTGCAACGGTAAAATTACACAAAGCTTCCATCACCAGAGCCGCCACCTCCCCGAAGTTGCTTAAAAATACATTGCTTGAGTCTGGGACTGTCCCTAGCATTTGACATCTCATCTCGAGTTAACTATATCACAATTATCGTCAACTCAACAGAAAGATCAAACGGATTTAGTCTAGAGCACCGGAGTGTCTTTGAACACTTAAGCGATGTGCTTTCCCGGGTTTAACCACTTCTTCATGTAGTAGCAGAAGAGGGTGCTGATGTAGAGGAGAACTAATAAGGCACAGGTGACCCCCAAGGCTAGCACGGACGTCTTCGTCGGGCAGGGTTCGATGATCGTCACGGTTTTGTCTGCAAAGAAAGGAATGAGCGAAGGTCGGGTCAAGGGGGGCGAAGCACCTTTTCCGAATTCGGCGCTCGAGAGCTCGCTTTTGAGGAACTCGGACTGCTTGTCGTCGCCGAAGTCCAGGACGAGGATTTCTTGGCTGAGCGTCATGTCTTCTTCCTTTTCTTCGTCGGTCACGTTGCTGACGGATCTCTTCCTTCTGCCCCAGGATTCGAGGGAGTCACGGCCCCATTCACATACAGCCTGAAAAAAGAAAGAGTTAAAAACATTGGTCCAAAGTCATTTTCACACAGTTTTTTTCGCCCAACAAATCGTGCTTCTTTGAAAAATTTATAAAAAATACAGTTGGGGCCACAATTTTAAAGAAGACAGGTGGGGCCTACGAGAAGGTTTCTCCTTAAAAAAAGAGATAGTTGGTGGGCCCGAGAAGGTTTCACATAAAAAAAAGCAGTTGGGGCCTTGGACAAGGTTTTATCTTCTTAAAAAAAAGATACTTGGGATCCTCGAGAAGGTTTCTCCTTTAAAAAAAGGCAGTTGGGGCCCCCGAGAAGGTTTCACATTAAAAAAATAACAGTTGGGGGCCCTAGAGAAGGTTTCACATTAAGAAAAAGACAATGGGGTCCCCGAGAAGGTTTCACATTAAGAAAAAAAAAACAGTTGGAGCCCTAGAGAAGGTTTCACATTAAAAAAAAAGACAGTTGGGACCTCCGAGAAGGTTTCACATTAAAAAAATAACAGTTGGGGGCCCTAGAGAAGGTTTCACCTTAAGAAAAAGATAGTGGCGCCCCCGAGAAGGTTTCACATTAAGGAAAAAAACAGTTGGAGCCCTGGAGAAGGTTTCACATTAAAAAAAGACAGTTGGGGCCTCGGAGAAGGTTTCGCATAAAAAAAAAACAGTTGGGGCATTGGACAAGGTTTTATCTTGTTAAAAAAAGATACTTGGAGTCCCCGAGATGGTTTCTTCTTTAAAAAAAGGCAGTTGGGGCCCCCGAGAAGGTTTCACATTAAAAAAAAAACAGTTGGGGGCCCTAGAGAAGGTTTCATATTAAGAAAAAGATAATGGGGTCCCCGAGAAGGTTTCCCATTAAGGAAAAACATTTGGGCCCTAGAGAAGGTTTCACATTAAAAAAGAGACAGTTGGGGCCACGGAGAAAGTTTCACATTAAAAAAGACGTTTGGGGCCTTGGAGAAGGTTTTATCTTCTTAAAAAAAGATACTTGGAGTCCTCGAGATGGTTTCTCCTTTAAAAAAAGGCAGTTGGGGCCCCCGAGAAGGTTTCACATTAAAAAAATAACAGTTGGGGGGCATAGAGAAGGTTTCACATTAAGAAAAAGACAATGGGGTCCCCGAAAAGGTAGTTGGAGCCCTAGAGAAGATTTCACATTAAAAAAACGACAGTTGGGGTTCCCGAGAAGGTTTCACATAAAGAAAAAAAACAGTGGCGCCCCCGAGAAGGTTTCACATTAAAAAAAGATAGTTGGGGCCTCGGAGACGGTTTCACATTAAAAAAAAAAAACAGTTGGGGGCCCCGAGAAGGTTTCACATTAAAAAAAAAACAGTTGGAGCCCTGGAGAAGGTTTCATATTAAAAAAAGCAGTTGGGGTCTTGGAGAAGGTTTTACCTTCTTAAAAAGAAAGATACTTGGGGTCCCCGAGAAGGTTTCACTTTCTTAAAAAAAAAGACAGTCGGTAAGGTTTCACATTAAAAAAAAAGTTGAAGCCTCCGAGAAGGTTTCACCTTAAAAAAAAAAAAAATTGGAACCCTCGAGAAGGTTTAACTTTCCTAAAAAAAAAAGACAGCTGGTAATCTCAAGAAGGTTCGTATTCTTTTTTTCAAAAAAAGAAAGTTGGTGCTCCTGAGAAGGTTTCATCTTCTTAAAAAAGACACTTGAGGTCCCCGAGAAGGTTTCACTTGAAAAAAAAAAACAATTGGGACCCCAAAACGTTTTCACATTAAAAAAAAGACAGCTGGGAATTTCGAGAAGGTTCATATTCTTTCAAAAAAAAGACAATTGGGACCCCGACAAGGTTTCATCTTATTAAAAAAAAAGACACTTGGTGTCCCCGAGAAGGTTTCGCCTTCTTAAAAAAAGAACAATTGGGACCCCGAAAAAGTGTCACATTTAAAAAAAAGATAGCTGGGAATTCCAAGAAGGTTCATATTCTTAAAAAAAAGACAATTGAGACCCTCGAGAAGGTTTAACTTTCCTAAAAAAAAGACAGCTGGTAATCTCAAGAAGGTTCATATTCTTTCAAAAAAAGAAAGTTGGGGCCCCTGGCAAGGTTTCATTTTCTTAAAAAGGATACTTGAGGTCCCCGAGAAGGTTTCACTTGAAAAAAAAAAACAATTGGTTTCTAAAACGGTTTCACATAAAACAAAAGACAATCGGAAATTCCGAGAAGGTTCATATTCTTTCAAAAACGGACAGTTGGGACTCCCAACAAGGTTTCATCTTATTAAAAAAAGACATTTGGTGTCCCCAAGAAGGTTTCGCTTTCTTAAAAAAAAAGAACAGTTGGGACCCCGAGAAGGTTTCACATTTAAAAAAATGAGAGCGGGGAATTCCGAGAAGGTTCATATTCTTAAAAAAAGAGAATTGGGACCCTCGAGAAGGTTTAACTTTCCTAAAAAAAGACAGTTGGTAATCTCAAGAATGTTCATATTCTTTCAAAAAAAGAAAGTTGGGGCCCTTGACAAGGTTTCATTTTCTTAAAAAGAATACTTGAGGTCCCCGAGAAGGTTTCACGTGAAAAAAAAAACAATTGGGACCCTAAAACGGTTTCACATAAAAGAAAAGACAACCGGAAATTCCGAGAAGGTTCATATTCTTTCAAAAAGGGACAATTGGGACCCCTAACAAGGTTTCATCTTATTAAAAAAAGACACTTGGTGTCCCCAAGAAGGTTTCGCTTTTTTAAAAAAAGAACAATTGGGACTCCGAGAAGGTTTCACATTTTTTAAAAAATGACAGCTGGGGACCCCGAGAAGGTTCACATTCTTTCAAAAAAAGACAGTTGGGGCCACTGAGAAGGTTTCATCTTGTTAAAAAAAAGACACTTGGTGTCCCCGAGAAGGTTTCACTTTTTTAAAAAAAGAACAATTGGGACCCCCGAGAAGGTTTCACATTTTTTAAAAAAAGACAGCTGTGGCCTCCGAAAAGATTTCACATTCTTAAAAAAAAAACAGCTGTGGCCGCGAGACAGCTGTGGACCCCGGGAAGATTTGACATTAAAAAAAAGAGTTAAGGCCCACGAGAAGGTTTGACCTTTAAAAAAAGACAATTGGGACTCTCAAGAAAGAGTAACGTTCTTAAAAAAACAATTGGGCCCCCCGAGAAGGTTTCATCTTATTAAAAAAAAGATACTTGAGGTCCCCAAAACAGTTTTACATTTACAAAAAAAGTCAGCTGGGAAATCCGAGGAGGTTCATATTCTTTCAAAAAAGGACAATTGGGACCCCCGACAAGGTTTCATTTTATTAAAAAAAAAGACACTTGGTGTCCCCGAGAAGGTTTTACATTCTTAAAAAAAAAACAATCGGAATCCCTGAGAAGGTTTCACATTTAAAAAAAAAAAAAAGACAGTTGGAGATGCCGAGAAGGTTCATATTCTTCCAAAAAGACAGTTGGGGCCCCCGAGAAAGTTTCATCTTAAAAAAAGACACTTAGCGCCACCGAGAAGGTTTCACATTCTTAAAAAAAATGGTCTAAAGTTGTTTTGACAGAACTTCCTTCGCACCTAAAGTACAATGAAAAATATCAAGTATTTTTGAGTTGAGTTTTTACTGTACAGAATTTGGATTGGTGTACTGTAATAAGAAAAATAACACTATTGTATTTCCAAAATTTTCTGGGAAAATGGAGTGAGCTGATCCTGATTTAATCAATAAAATAAATTGACACCTTCATTAATTTTTTTGGGCCACCTGTGTAAGAATGTCTAAAAAATATGAATGCAATGATAAATCACAAGTAAAAACTCATCATATTTTGCAAATTTCGGGTAGACGTAGCAATTTAACCCCTTTAAATTTCATAAGTTTTTACAAGATTAATAGGGACAAAATTAGTTTTATTTTAACAAGTACTAGGCCCGCTACCCACCCTTTACTTTCATAGAGGGTATGTCATTTGAAAAAACCGTCTTTCCTTAACAAGGACTAACCCCGCCCACCCGCCCCCTGTTTTCTCAGAGGATATGTCATCTGCCAAAATAAGACTTACGTTAGCAAGTACTAGGCCCGCCCACCCGCCCTTTATTTTCTCAGTACTTGCTCAAATAAGACTGCTAGTACTTACTAAGGTAAAACATATTTTGGCACGTTTTGAAGAGGTAAACGAATAAAATTTGCATAACGATTTACCATGATTACGATAACCGTAAAATATTTACAAGATTTCCGAGCAATCGGTTTTGCAGTTTCAAAGTTATATTGCAATATATTGTTATTTAGTTTTTTATTTTTTACAAAAATTCGGGATGTCTAGGGTGAAAATTCGACACGGGTTCACACACCACAAGCACAAGAGTAAATTATTTTATTGAATTAAAAAAACTATTAATTATAAATTTTGGAGATGACGTCATCAAATTGTTGGTGGGGATGATTATCCAAATTTTGGTTAGTATTTAACCGTATACAAGATATTTCTAACATATGTACAAAATTTGACAAGAATCGGTCCAGCAGTTTCGGAGATTATGTGTCTAATAAAAATGGATACAGACAGACGGAAACGGGAGACCAAGAGTAAAACTCAACACGAATTCATAAATCACACATCGACGAGCATGTTATTTCATAAAATTTAAACAACATTATTATTTGGCAAAAATGTAAGATGACGTCATTATTTGGCGGGGAGGGGGGTGCACAAACGAGTAGATTTTGATTAACGATTTATCATGATTTCTGTAACCTTCAAATAAAACACATGTGCGTTTTACCATCTACACGATATCCTTAATACAGGTACAAAAAATATTGACAACAATCAGTGAAGTACTAAAAATGTTGTGTACAAGATATTCCCTTTAGGGTCTTGGTATCTGGGAAACTCCATTAACAGCTAGTATAAACACGAGTAATCTGAAACACGTCTTTGCTTCTTTCCATGTTTAGAACCCTGTTCGTGTAAGAACAAACGGAAAAGATTTTAAAACGTTATATTAATCCTCCAATTAGAAACTGCACCAGAAGGTTAGAACTCTTCTTGGAAAACAGTTGCTACATGAGTGAAATTACTACCAACAAGGAATTAGAAGCACGAGCAACTGTTGCTACACAAGAAAACACTTTAAACAAGTCTGTTTAACCGTTATTAAATACGGGTACTCACGGGTTCACAGGGCCCAAGACAGTACTTCACGTTGCACTGGAAGATAACTCCGTACGACTCCGTGAACCTGAACGCCTCATAAATCGACTGGAGCGCGTTACCGTCGGGAGTAAACGCCGGGAATATACTAGGATCAACAGGACACCCTTCATCGTCGATAATCTGGAAGGTACTCTTCGAATCCTTAGCCATAGCCACGCAGCTCCTAGCAAAAATACCATACGGAGCTGAAACACAACCATGTACTTGCACCCTCTCCAAAATCGTCATTCAACTCACTATCTTCCGGAATTTCGATCCTGAAGGTAAGCTTGTCCCCAATACGAACCGTCTCGACCTCCCGGGACCGGCTGTCCAAGATGCGAATCCTCGGTGGAGGAGCTTCAGGTGCAGACGTGATACTGATCATCTCAGGATCTCTGCAAAAATCGTTTTATTGCTGTGATCAACAAGACAAGCGGTTTTACCTGATGGGCATCATTCCGAACGTGATGTTCTTCGACGACATGTCGTAGGTACACTTAACCTTGTAAATCTTGTCGGCTTTGGTCATAACGACACTGTGGTGTTGCAAGACGACAGTGTTACTATAGACTCCGATCTGAAAGCTTGAATCATTTGCGCTCTTGGAAACCCGTCGCTACTTACCACCGACTGAGTGTTGCAATCTTGTCCGGTCATAGTCAGATCTAATCTGAAGAGATCGCTGTTGATAACGTCAACGTTGCAGGTTTCAGACCGTCCTAACGCGTAAATCCTTCCATTAAAAGGCTTGTTGGTGCGGACTTGTACCGCGATCTTGGTGTCCTTGCAGTTGACGGACACTGAAAGTAATTTTTAGACGAGGACAGGCTTGAGGGGTTAGTTACCGTCGTAGCAGGTTCCAGTTTTGTCGCAGTTGACGTCGCTGCGGGTGAGGTTGTTGAGGTTGGGGTCTTCAGTGGCTTCGAAGACGACTGGAAGGGTGTTGTCGGAGGGTGCACCGGTGGGAGAAGGACCAGGCTCTGGAATTGTTACTCACAATACTTGGTACTATATTAGAAGGGACTTACTTTCACAGACGTTCTCGAAGTAGCTACCAATGCGTTCACCGTTGTCGATTAGAGGGCGTTCAGCGTTTAAGTAGGTGCTGGGTCCGTCTGGAAGGGTCTTATGATCGAGGTGGAAGAGTTGGCAGTTGTAGAGGGCTCCTTGTGGAGGACCTTTGTAGAGGAAGGATCTGCACAGGAACTCGTTTTCGATTTCACAGGCCAAACGACAGGCGGCTTCACTGGTCACTTGGAGTTCTTTATCGGTGTAGTAGTGGAGGCTTGCGTATTGGGCTACCTTGTCATCCGCGACTCCGATTCTTGGGGTTTGAAAGACGCGGTTGGTCTTACAAGCTTGATTTCCTTTAAGACACAAGTTCTCGAAGTAGTCCACTCCTTGGGCGTCCACGAACTGCACGAATTGACCAGTGGTCCGACGGTCCGAGTCGCTGAGTTGGCATTGTAAGGTTACGTAGTTGTACTCGACGGATCGACAAGTGAACCGATGCTGGAAAAACAATGAAGACATGAAGACGAAATAGTTAAGACGGTGGATTGGATTCAAAGCAAACCTCGTTCAGACAGGCTGACAGGCACGCCTCCTTCGTGGAAGTGTAAATAAGCGCGTTGTCCAAGCCCCGGATCATCTTGTTGGGGATGCGTTCGAAGGCCCACGGTCTCAAACACACGTTCTCGGAACGAAGTTGTAGTTTGGTCATGTAGTACATATTGACGGATCTCTGCGGCGTGGCTGAAGGGTTATTTGAAGACGTCTCGTTCTGGAGCTGACAAAGCGTTTCTTGCATGGGTATTAGAGGATTCATTACGAAGCTGAAAAGGGCGGCTTGACAATCGGGCTCCTCGCGACACCAACCCTGGCATTCGTACAAGCTCAGGTTCTTTACAGTGTAGTAGGTGGTGCCGCGGTAGTCGAAGTCGGTTAGCTTCTCGAAGGCTATCCTCGCTGAAAAAAAAAAACAGAAAAATTTGACTACAAGGTAGACAAAAGTGGGAATATGTTGGTAGTGGAGGAGGAAGAGCTAGCTATAAATACAACGGTAGTCATAACAAGATCGAAGCTTCTTTAGGAAGCTATTAATTTTGTTTGATGTTTCAATAAATTTTAATATCTTTATTAGCAGGAATTCCCAGATGACTAAAACCGCTATAAATCTTTTACTAATTGCTGATCACTGTACTGCTATTGAATGAAGACCAGTGAAGAGTTTTCGCTTGCAGGAACTTTACGATTTCCTCTCGAGACAAGAATCTGCTAATCTCGAGCACTTATTAATTCCGCTCATCTTTATAGCGGATGTCTCCGGGTCTTATCAAGCGTGTCTTAACGAAACCCGTCCTTGACACGATCGATCGCCACCTTTCCGTTTTTCCGTTTTTCCGAGTTTCCGAGTGCACTCCAATTGGAGGCGAGCCAGCGCGACAATAATTAATGTTTCCAAACGTAGCCAGAAAGATAATCCGGGAAGTTCCTGAACGCGACCTTGATCCGTGTTTTCGCTCCGAGGACATGCAATATAAGACGACAAGATAAACACAAACTTTGCTCGTTTTGGGTGGATTTCCCGGATGACAGCTGCAAGCCCCGGCACTGCGAATAAATACGGTGTTTGGGTGTTTGGGTACATCAAAGCGCGTAAACAGGGGCGGGGCCGCCGCGGGCGGAGCCGGAGGTCACGTGTGGATGGCCCGCCAATTAAATTAATTGGCGCTTCCGCTAGGTCGGTCAACTTCGCAACACCAGATGGTACCTGGTTGTTTGAAGGTAGCAACCAGTGGTGTAAATATCACTCCGTAGGTTTTTTGACTTGAGTTTTTGAATTTTTTGTTTCAAGTTTAAATTTTGCAGTTTATCAGTTTTCCAACTTTTGAATTTTTCAGTTTTTAGATTTTGCAATTTTTTTATTTGAGTTTTTCGAATTTTCAATTCTTAATTTTTTAATTTTTCGATTTGAAATTTTTCGTTTCGTTTTTTGTTACTTTTTCAGTTTGATTTTGTATGTATCGAGATTTTGTAATTGTTCATTCAGTTTTTATTTCTTCAATTTTTCGTTTCTCTAATTTTCCGTTTCTTCAATTTTTCGTTTCTTCAATTTTTCGATTTGCAATTTTTCATTTTTTGTTTCTTCTTGTTGTAATTTTTCTATTTAAAATTTCTCGAGTGTTCAATTTTAATTCACCAATTTTTCAGGTTTAAGAAAGCATCTCTCCGAGTTTTCATATTAGAAAAATTTCAGTTTTCTGCTTTTCCAGCTTTTGAAAATTTCAATTATCACATTATGCAATTTTTCGGTCTGCATTTTCATGAGTTTTCATTCTTTCATTTTTCAAATTTTCGTTTTGTAATTTTTCTTTTCGGTTTTTTTTTATTTTTTCACTTCGATTTTTCAATGCACCGATTTTATAATTGTTTGTTCTTTCAATTTTTCGTTCCTTTAATTTTTCGTTTCTTCATTTCTATTTGTTTCTTTAATTTTACGATGTGCATCTCTTCAAGTTTTCATTTTACAAATTTTTCAGTTTTCTGAAACTTTTGAATGTTTCAATTTTTCAGTCTGCAATTTTACGAGTTTTCAGTCTTTAATTTTTCATATTTTCGATTTGCAATTTATCATTTTGCTTTTTTATATCCGTTATTATTTCAATAATTCGATTTTTGAATGTTTCGACTTTATAATTTTTTGTTTTTTCAATTTTAATTTTTTCAATTTTCCCTTTCTTCAATTTTTTTGTTTCTTCAATTTTTCCATTTGCGAGTTTTCAGTTTTCGATTTTTTTGTTTCTTCATTTTTAGATTTTGCAATTTTTGATTTAAAACTTCTCGAGTTCTCAATTTTTAAGTCTTCATGTTTTTGTTAATTTTTTCAAATTTTGGATTTGCAGTTTTTGGCTTCGGTTTTTTGTTTTAGTTTTACAATTTTTCGATTTTTCAATGTTCGTTTTTGTTTTTTCTCAGTGTCAATTTTTTCAATTTTTCATTTCTTCACTTTTTCGATTTACAATGTTACATTTTTAACTTTTTTTGTTTTCCAATTTTCCAAAACTAAAAAAACCTTTGGACATTTCAATTCAGGAGTTTTCAACTTCTAATTTTTCAATTTTTAGACTATTTTATTTTTCATTCATATAATTTTTCGTTTCGATTTTTATTTTTTCAATTTTTCGGTTTTTAATTGTTCTAATTTTCTAAGTTTTCTTTTCTTCAACTTTCAAATTTTTCCAGTTTCTCGATTTTTCAGTTTTTGGTTTCTTTAGTTTTTAATTTGCAATTTTTCTAGTTTTCATTTAAAATATGTACGTAAAAATAATTATAACTTTAATTTTTTTTCTTCGATTTTACGATTTCAGAATTTTTTCATTTTTCAATTATTGGATTTTAAAATAATTTTTCATTTATTCGATTTTTCAATATTTTATTTATTAAGTTTTCAATTTTTCGATCTTTCAGTATTACAATTTTTCGACAAATTTTGACTATTCTATAATTTTTCTGTTAACAATTTTTGGGTTTTCCAATTTTTCGATTTGATTCATTGTTTTTTCTTCTTTCCAAGTTTTGGTTGATTAATTTTTTTTCGATTTTTAGTTTTTCAATGTTTCTATTTTTCGTTTCTTCATTTGCAATTTTTCGATTTTTCACTTTTTCGATTTTGCAATTCTTCGTTTTTTCAAATTGTTCCGGTTTTTTGTTTTTCGATTTATAATTTTTCGAATCAAAAAATTGAAAAATTGCAAAACTGTAAAATAGGAAATTCAAAAATGGAAAAGCGAAAATATATCTTTGAAAACTCTAAAAATTGGAAATCAAAAACTTGAAAAATTGAGAAAATTAAATATCGAAAAACTGCATAATCGAAAAACAGAATTATTGTAATATGGAAATATTGAAAATTAAAGAAATCGGAAAATCGGATAATTGTGAAATCCAAAAACTGCAAAACTGAAAAATTTAAAAATCTGAACACTGAAGCATTAAAAAATTAAAAAATGCAAATTTTATATTTTTTGTTTATTCAATTTTTCGATTTACGAGTTTTGTATTTTTGATTTTTTTGTTTCTTAATTTTTAGATTTTGCAATTTTTCGATTTAAAACTCGAGTTTTTAGTTTTTAATTTTTCAGTTTTTCGTTCATTTTTTCAAATTTTTGATTTGCAGTTCTTGGTATCGTATTTTTGTTTTCTTTGTTTCTACAATTTCAATTTTTCAGAGTTCGTTTTTGTTTTTCAGTTTCAATTTTTTCAATTTTTCATTTCTTCACTCTTTCAGTTTGCATTTTTTCATTTTACCTTTTTTTTTTTGTTTTTCCAACGTTTGAATGTTTCAATTTTTAGATTTTTCGATTTTTATTTCTTCAATTTTTTTAATTGCAGTTTTTAGTTTCGGTTATTTGTTTTCTTCTTTTCGAGTTTTCATTTTTAACTTTTTTTAAACTTCCGATTTTCCGAAATTAAAAAAAACCTTTGGATGCTTCAATTTTTAGATGCTGCAATTTTTCGATTTGTAATTTCAGGGGTTTTCAATTTCTAATTTTTCAATTTTTAGATTTTTTTTATGTTTCATGTCTATTATTATTCGTTTCAATTTTTATTTTTTCAACTTTTCGGTTTTTCTTTGTTCTAATTTTCTAAGTTTTTTTCTTCAACTTTGTTCAAGTTTTTCAGTTTTTGGTTTCTTCAGTTTTTGATTTGCAATTTTTCTAGTTTTCATTTTAAATATGTATATAAATATAATTATAACTTTTAAAATTTTTCTTTTCTTCAATTTTACGATTTTAGAATTTTTCCACTTTTCAATCATTGGATTTTAAAACTTTTTCATTTATTCGATTTTTCAATTTTTCATTTATTAATTTTTCAATTTTTCGATCTCTCAGTATTACAGTTTTTCGACTTAACAATTTTGACTATTCTATGTATAATTTTTCTGTTTTACAATTTTTGGGTTTTCCAATTTTTCGGTTAATTTTTTTCGATTTTTAAGTTTCTGGAGTTTTAGTTTTTCAATGTTTCCATTTTTCGTTTCTTCATTTGTAATTTTTCGATTCTTCACTTTTTCGATTTTGTAATTTTTCGTTGTTTCAATTTGTTCCAAACTTTTCGAATCAAAAAATTGAAAAATTGCAAAATTGTGAAACTGGAAAATCAAAAATGGAAACACGAAAAAGTATCTTTGAAAAATTTAAAAATTGAAAATCAAAAAGTTGTAAAATTGAAGAAACGAAAAATTTATGAATCGAAAAACTGTTGTAAAATGGAAATATTGAAAATTAAAGAAATCCGAAAATCGGATAATTGAGAAATACAAAAACTGCAAAATTGAATCAAAATTGAAAAATCTGAAAATGGAGGAAGTGAAGAATCAATAATGGCAAATTTTATAATTTTTTGTTTATGCAATTTTATTTTTTCCAATTTTCCTTTTCTTTAATTTTTTGATTTACAAGTTTTCAAGTTTTGATTTTTTTTGTTTCATCATTTTTAGATTTTGCAATTTTTGAGTTTTCAGTTTTTAATTTTTCAGTTTCATTTTTTCAAATTTTTGGTTTGAAATTTTTGTTATCGGTTTTTGGTTTCTTTATTTTTACAATTTTTTGATTTTTCAATGTTCGTTTTTGTTTTTCCAATTTAATTTTTTTCAATTTTTCATTTCTTCACTTTTTCGGTTCGCAATTTTCTATTTCACAATTTTTTTTTGTTTCTTCAACTTTACGATATCTTTGAAATTTCATTTTTATATTTTTCAGTTTCCCGTCTTTCCAACTTTTGGATGTTTCATTTTTTATATTTTGCAATTTTTCAATTTGCAATTTTAAGAATTTAGAACTTCTACTAATTTTTCAATTTTTGGAATTGCAGTTTTGCGTTTCGGTTATTTATTTTCTTCTTTTCGAGTTTTCATTTTTAATTTTTTTTAGTTTTCCTATTTTACAAAACTACAAAAACTTTCGGATGTTTCAATTTTTAGATAATTTTTTTCTTCATTTCTATAATTTTTCTTTTTTCAACTTTAAAATTTTTCACTTTCTCGATTTTTCAGTTTTTGGTTTGCAATTTTTCCAGTTTTCATTTTAACGTATGTAAAAATAATTTTAATTTTAAAAATTTTTCTTTTCTTCCATTTTAATAAAAATAAATCATATCAATCATCTTTTATGATTTTAAAACTTTTTCATTTATTCGATTTTTCAATATTTTATTAATTAATTTTTCAGTTTTTCGATCTTTCAGTACCTACTACAGTTTTTCGACTTTATAATTTTGACTATCCTATATATTTAATTTTTCTGTTTTACAATTTTTGGGTTTTCCAGTTTTTTGATTCGATTAGTTTTTTTTCTTTCCAATTTTTTGGTTGATTTTTTTTTCGAGTTTGAAGTTTCTCGATTTTTAGTTTTTCAGTATTTCTATTTTTCCATTTTTCGTTTCTTCATTTGCAATTTTTCGATTTTTCACTTTTTCGATTTTGCAATTTTTCGTTATGTCGATTTGTTCCAATTTTTAGTTCTTCGATTTTTACTGTTTCGAATGAAAAAATTGGAAAATTGCAAAATTGTAAAATTGGAAAATCTAAAATGGGAAATCGAAAAACTCTCTTTGAAAAATCGAAAAATAGGAAATCCCGAACTTAAAAATTTGAAGAAACGAAAAATTGAAGAATTTGTATATAAATCTGAAAACCGAAGAATTAAAAAATCAAAAACTGAAAATTTGAAGAACTGAATAAAGGCAAAATTATAAAATCGAAAGAAACATTGAAAAAATAAAGAAAATAAAAAAAAATGTGATATAAAATTGAGTAAATGAAAATTAAAAAAACGGGAAAATGAAGAATAAATATCAAGAATTTAAAAAATCAAGGAAACGAAAAATTGAAAAATTAAAGAGAGTGTAAAAGCAAAAAATGGTAAAATCGAGGAAAAAGGAAAAACGAAAAATTGTGATACCAAAAATTGAATCAAAGGAATAAATTTATTTCTAATTACTACATTGAGCTTTCTTTGTATAACACGATTATTTATGAACATATTTCACATGGTAATTTCTCGTAGAAAAATACGGATTTTGCAATTAAGCTCCGCCCCTCGGCTTAACGACGAATAAAAAAAATCATCAGAATTGAGACGGGGCGGGTGGGCGGGGCTTATATTTTCCCTTTTTCTCTTACTACACATAGCCATTTTTTCACAACAAGAAACTTAGTTTGTAAGATTTCAGAGCATTCTGTTTTGTAGTTTCAAAGTTAAATTGCAAAATTTTGATTTTTTTTCCAAAAATCTGGATGTGTAGATTGGAAATTCAACAAAATTTTCATTTATTTTATTTAGTTTGCTTAATAGTGCTTTTGAGTATAATTCATTAAGTTGGCCTTGCCAAGTTAACGGACCCAATTTGCGCAACCTTCGTGAAGGACCACGTCATAATGAGCCATTTTTGGGTAACGGTCGAGAGTAATTTCGACGTAGCCGAAAAAAGACAATGGTAAACCTCAAAGAACCGCAAGTTGTTCTTTGAGTTCCGCTTCACGGAAGCGAAAGCACTCACCTAGACTTCCATACGTGTGGGCTAAGACTAGAAGCAGTGTGATTTGAAGGCCGCGCTGTAGCATCTGAAACAAAAAAATCGTTACTTTAATTAATCCGTCTGACAGCAGGTAAAATCGATAAATACATCGGTTTTCATCCGCCGGCTCTTCCGGCGAGCTGCAACTTTCCTTGTGGGAAACCGACCCGAAATATTTTTCTCATTAAATTGCGTGGAAACGCCGCTTGCATGTTTGCACGTAATAGATGGCTACTCGACAAGCTACTTAACGTTAAAGCCGTCTGAGTGCCGTCCGCGTTATTTAATATGGAAATTCATCATCCCGTTCTTTTTCAGCGACCTGTACGCCCAAAAAGTCATAACCGGCTTTTTTCCACGTATCGACTCGCGTCCCCAAATCCGCGATATTTATCAGGATTTGCTGAAAAATAAATTACGTTCGAATTCAATTTCATATTCGATCAAGCGGGGAATTAAACTTAACCGTGTAAATTCCACGCAGGGGGAATTCGGTTGTGATTTGAGAGGCAAATGCAATGTAACGCGGCTTGCGGCTGAGGCTAACGCGAATTATTACTTCTCGCCAATTAGAGGCAAGTGAGCGCGACATCGGTAATTCCGCCGGGACGTGGGTTGTTGGTGGTCGGAGGCGAAGAAGTGGAGTTTTTCTGGGCGTGGCAGATTGGGTTTATGAGGGGACGGAGGCGGGGGTCGACACGTGGGTGGCATTTTTGCCGCCCGGCGCATCCACCATAACTTAGGCGCCGCGGAGGGTGTCGGAATGGGCGGATGGGCGATGACGGACCCATAAACATGGCCAGAGACGCTGGGATCGTATACCTGACGGAGCTTTATTTAGTCCTTGTTTATTTATTTTAAGGGAGAGTTTGATACCTCAGGGATCTATCATGACGCCTTTTCTTTTGTCTGTATCTGCTAGTGACGCATCTAGAAGCTTTTTTATATAAGTCTAGAGATATCGGGCGGTCCAAAAACGTGATTGTAATTTATTTTATTATTGATTTTATTAAAAAATAATAATAATGATTTTTGACAAAATTTTGAGATGGAGCCATCAATTTTTTGGGAGGAGATAAATTAATAAATTTTGATTAACGATTTACCATGATTATGATAAGTTTTTAAACGTTTGCAAAATTTCAGAGCATTCGGTTCTGCAGTTTCAAAGTTTAAATTGTAAGACGTTGTTCTAAAATTTAGATTTGTTACAAAAATCTGGATGTCTAGGGTGAAAAATCCACCACATGTGTAGGAGTATTTTATTTTATGAAATTAAAAACAAATTTACTGATGGTGGGGATGATTAGCCAAATTTTGCATACAAAATTTGGCAACATTCGGTCCTTTTCGATTATGTATTCAGTTTTTCAATATTTTAGTTTTTAAATTTTTCCCTTCTGTTCGGGATTTTAGGTTTTTCAATAATTATTCCACTTTCCTATTATATATAATTTTTCGATTTTTCAATTTTTAAGTTTTTGGATTTTTCAATTTTTCCACTTTTCAGTATTTTAATTGATTTTTTCGATTCGATTTTTAATTTTTATGTTTTTCGATTTTTCAATTATTCCACTTGTCGATTCTTCAGTTTCTTGATTTTTGAGTGTTTCTTTCTATTTGTCTTTTGAATTTTTTGATTTTTCAATTTCTCAGTTATCCAGATTTCGATTTTACAATTTTAGGTTTTTCAATTTTCCTATTTTTTTATATTTCACTTTTTAAACTTCTCTGCAAAATCGAAAAACCCACTTTCGATTATTGATTCTCAAAACCCTAAAATCCTCAAATTCTCAAAACATAAAAATCTTCAAATCCTCAAAACACCAAAAATCCTCAAATCCTCAATACACCAAAATCCTCAAATCTTCAAATTCTCAAATCGTCAGAACATCAGAATCCTAAAATCCTCAAATCTTCACATCAAAATCTTCAGATACTCAACAATTTTTGAATTATTTAATTTTCGTTTTTTCATTGTTTCGGTTCTTCAGTTTTTGGATATCTCATTTTTTGATTTTTCTATTTTTTAATATTACTTTTTGAATTTTTTGATATTTCAATTTTTCGGTTTTACAATTTTACAATTATGCAGGTCCTTATTTTTCAATTTTTGAATTTTGAATTTTTGAATTTTTGAATTTTTCAATTTTCAATTTTTTCAGTATTTTAATTTTTGAGTTTTTCGCTTCTATGTTTTTTACTTTTGGGTTTTTCGATTTTTTTTAACATTATACTTTTTATTGTACCACTGTTAGATTCTTCAGTTTCTTGATTGTTGTGTGTTTCTATTTGTCTTTTTAATTTTTTGATTTTTCAATTTTTGAACATTATGCTTTTTGACTTTTCCGAGTTTTCAATTTTTCGATTCTTCAGTTTTTGGATTTTTCAATTTTTCTACTTTTCAGTATTTTAATTTTTGATTTTTTTTTGACTCTATTATTTTTTATGTTTCTCGATTTTTCATTTATTCCAATTGTCGATTCTTCAGTTTCTTGATTTTTGAGTGTTTCTATTTGTCTTTTAAATTTTTTGATTTTTCAATTTTTCAATTATCCAGTTTTCATTTTTACAATTTTAGATTCTTCAATTTTCTTATTTTTTAATATTTCACTTTTTAAACTTCTCTGAAAAATCGAAAAACCCAAAAATTAAAAACAGAATCGAAAAAATCAAACACTGAAATACCGAAAAGTGGAAAAATTGAAAAATCCAAAAACTGAAGTTTGTGTAGCTTTCGATTATTAATTCTCAAAACCCTAAAATCCTCAAAATCTCAAAACATAAAAATCTCCACATCCTCAAAACACCAAAAATCCTCAAATCCTCAAAATACCAAAATTTCCCAAACACCAAAATCCCCAAATTCTCAAAACATTAAAATAATCAAATCCTCACAACGCCAAAATCCTCAGATCTTCAGAACGTCAAAATCCTACAAAAAAGTGAACAAAAGAGGAGACTGAAACACGATAAAAAAGGGGACAAAAATAAACCAGAAAAAGGCAACAAACAAAACGACAAAGAAGTATACAAAGAAAAAACTTGTGTGAAAAACTCAAAATTAAAAATTTTGGTTACGGCATATTTAAAAATGGAGTCCTGGAATTTTATAGAAGACTTTATAGTTACCTTACTTGGATTTAGAAACTTTTAATTATGGCGTTTTTTTTGAAGATATGCAAATATTTTGAAAACTGCCATCGTCATGAAGAATACAAATCATTAAAAATATACAGGGTGGTTCTTTTAAAAAATACAACTTTGGTGTATTTTATTATTTTAGTTTAAATAATAATCATAGATTGAAAGTACTTAGGTCCAAAGACTTGTGCATTAGTTTAGGATAAGGAAGCATTTCGGGACACCAGGTATACAGACATATAATAGATCTATTTAATTTATAAATTCTCTATTAATAAACTTTTTTTTTGTCTGGATGTCTAGGGTAAAAAATCCACCACATGTGTAGGTGTATTTTATTTTATGAAATTAAAAACAAATTTACTGATGGTACATACAAAATTTGACAACATTCGGTCCTTTTCGAATATGTATTCAGTTTTTCAATATTTTAGTTTTTAAATTTTTCCCTTCTGTTCGGGATTTTAGGTTTTTCAATAATTATTCCACTTTCCTATTCGTGGATTTTTTGTTTTCTGAATGTTTCAAGACGGCTCTTCAATTTTTCGATTTTTCAATTTTTCAGTTTTTGGATTTTTCAATTTTTCCACTTTTCGGTATTTTAATTGATTTTTTCGATTCGATTTTTAATTTTTATGTTTTTCCATTTTTCAATTATTCCACTTGTCGATTCTTCAGTTTCTTGATTTTTTTGTCTTTTGAATTTTTTGATTTTTCAATTTCTCAATTATCCAGTTTTCGATTTTACAATTTTAGATTCTTCAATTTTGCTATTTTTTAATATTTCACTTTTTAAACTTCTCTGAAAAACCGAAAAACCCAAAAATTAAAAACAGAATCGAAAAAATCAAAAATTGAAATACCGAAAAGTGGAAAAATTGAAAAATCCAAAAACTCAAGTTTGTGTAGCTTTCGATTATTAATTCTCAAAACCCTAAAATCCTCAAATTCTCAAAACATAAAAATCTTCAAATCCTCAGAACACCAAAAATCCTCAAATCCGCAAAATACCAAAATTTTGTAAACACCAAAATCCCCAAATTCTCAAAACATTAAAATAATCAAATCCTCACAACGCCAAAATCCTCAGATCTTCAGAACGTCAAAATCCTCAAATTCTCAGAACACCAAAATCCTCAAATCCTCAAAACACCAAAATCCCCTCAGTTTTTGATTTTTCTAATTTTTAATATTACACTTTTTAATTTTTTTTGATATTTCGATTTTATAATTTTACAATTATGCAGGTTCTCATTTTTCAATTATCGAATTTTGAATTTTTCCATTTTCAATGTTTTCAATATTTCAGTTTTTGAGTTTTTCGCTTCTATGTTTTTTACTTTTGGGTTTTTCGATTTTTTTTGACATTATACTTTTTGATTTTTAAGATTTTCCTACTTTTCGTTTCTTGAGTTTTTGGATTTTTCGATTTTTCCACTTTTCGCTAATTCAATTTTTGATTTTTTCGATTCCGTTTTTAATTTTTGGGTTTTTCGACTTTTCAGCTATCCCATTTTTGATTGTTCAGTTTCTAGATTGTTGAGTGTTTCTATTTGTCTTTTAAATTTTTTGATTTTTCAATTTTTTAGTTATCCTGTTTTCGATTTTACAATTTTAGATTTTACAATTTTCCTATTTCAGTTTACAGCTTTGTAGCTTTCGATTTTTCATTAATAAAACCCTAAAATCATCAAAAATCTTCAAAACACCACAAACCTCAAATTCTCAAAACACTAAAATACTCAAATCCTCAGAATACCAACACCCTCCAATCCTCAGAACATCAAAATCCCAAATTCTCAAAACACCAAAATCCCCAACAATTTTTCAATTACTTAATTTTCGATTTTAATGTTTTTATTTTTCGGTTTTTTAAGTTTTTGGGTTGCTCAATCTTTGAGT